TGAGAGCTTCCAACGCAGCGCGCGCTCTCTCGTACACACGCACACACACATTCACGGATACACAGATATATTAAGAGAGCAGCGCAAGTTCCATGACGGTGCGGTCACAATCGCAGGCTGGGCTGCCGCACGACAACACTGATCGGCTTTTGATTGTGGGGGCGATGCGAGGCTGTGTGGGCCATGTGTGTCCCAAGTGTCACGCAGCAGCAGCCCCCACATGAAAAAAGACCAATAGACAACAACAACAGCAACAGCAGCAGCAGCAGTGGAAGCTAGAGCATCAACCTACTTTTCGGCTTAAGATATTGAGTAACACGTTGCGAGCCTAACCACATAGAACCAACTGTTGTCGTTGGCTGCGGGGAAATAGATTTGGAAGGGAAATTAATTAAACTCATATATGGGCATTTTGCTCTTAAAGGCCGAACCCAACTCTTATACACAAAGAAAGGCTTTAGTGTATGAAACAAGAACATTTAATGGGGAAGTTACAGCGCTTACATTTACATACACACATAAACAGACATTAGATCAGCGACTAAGTAGAACAACAATAAAAATAGTAACAATGGGCTGCGATCGTTCATGGTAAAGCTCCACCATAAAAACAACAACTCACAAGTAGAAAAAAAATTAAACAGACTGCAAAAAAAAAACAACAACAAAAACCAACCGACAACACGCAATAGGGCAAGGCAAACAACAACAGCACTAGCGGCAGCGGCAGCGACGTCGGCAGAGAGCTGAGCTGAGCCAGCAACAGGAATTTACGATTCAGTGGCTACCTTGTTGTTGTTGGTGTTCGTTTGTATACATACACGCATACTTAAACATGCATTTAGCTGTATTTGTTGCTATTTCACCTGGGTTGGGGCGCTGCGTATGTGTGTGTGTGTTTGTGTGCATGGATCTTCGCCTAGGTGTGCCTGTGTGTGAGAGAGAGCCTATTAGGCAAAGCATTCGCTTCCGTTGTAAGAGCATTAAGCAAGGGCAGCGGCGGGTTCCGTTACGCCTAAAGAGTGTAGAATAGACAAAAACAATAACAACAGCGACCAGCAGCAGCACGTATATAGGTGTGTAGGATAAGCAAAGAGAAAGAGAGAGGTAAAACATTTGGCAGCTTAAAAGTTGCTAGCAAGAAAAATAAACTAAGTACAAATAAAAACAATCCAATTGCGCAGCGCTTATAGGATTCCAATTTGAAAATTCGTCATTCGCCTGTACGCTTCACTTGTAGAATTTACAGTTGCTTACGTAATGCCGCACCAATACACACGCCTGCCTACACACAAACGCTCCTTCAAATGCACACATACATGAACGCACACATACAGAGACAACTTAATTTTTTGTTGTTTGAGGCCTGCGTCGCTGGCTCAAGTTTCCACATGTTTTTCCAATTGCCGCAAAAGCCAAGCCAAGCCAACCACACACACACATACAGTTGGAAAAACCAAAGGCATTGGCAGCGACTGCAGCCCAACCCCAATGCAGCCCGACAGCCGCCCAACCCAAGTGCCGCCTATTGCCCTTACAATTACAACCACACAGAGTGAGAGAGAGATAGCGATAGCGAGAGAGGGAAAGATAGAGCGACATAAGCGGCTGCTGCGGTGCGGCACCCAATGTTTCTAGCTTTTTCTTTTTCCATCATGTTTTTCTTTATAACCCCGTTTCGTCAACGTTGTTGGCACGTCCGTTCGTCCGTCCCCTCTTCCTCCTCCACCTCCCTCTCGCAGGCCCCATCGCGTGCAAGGGAAATTAAAAATTCAAAAAGTCAAAGGCGCAAGCAGCGAACCGACGTCCGACTGCGCGAGTGAGCGAACGCAGCGAAAACAACACAAGTGTAGAGATATAGACAGAAAGAGCGCAAGAGAGCGTCGATTGACGATTGGAGACTTGGGGACTCGGCCATTAACTGTTCGTTCCTTTTGTGAGAGCGTAACGTTGACTGCGCCGCTAGCAGTGCAGCTGGCGTACAACGACGACTGTGGCCGACGGATGTAGGATTGCTGTCCATGTGTGTTTGCGTGTATCTCTGTGTGCGTGCGTGTGTAGCAAGAAGCTAATAAGCGGGCAAGTATAAGAAGAAGAAGAAGCAGCAACAGCGGCAGCAGCAGCAGAGGCCTCGGCCGTCGCTTGGCTCGTCGTTTAGGAGCCGAGGATCGTTCAGTCAGTGTATTGGTGTCAAACGAGACGGACGAATTTGGCGGCAAAGAGATTTTCATTGCGTTTCGCTCGTTCGTTCGTTCGGTCGACGCGCCCCTTCTCCCACTCTATCTATCTCACTCGCACTGAATTGTGAAAATTTCCATTTGAAAATTTCGGGCAACGACAAGAAAAACAAGCGATTGTTGCAAAGTTAAAATTAAACAAAACGTGCAAAAACAAAAAGTAAAAGTTAAGCAAAAGGAAAACAGCAGGCGTCAGCAGTTAACGGAAAACAGCAAAGAAAGGTGCATACACGAAGAAGATAATTGTGAAACATGTGAAAATGATTTTGCCAACCGCCCCCCATTGAAATTGTTTCAAAAGTCGCGCATGTCCCAAAAGTGCCTTAAAATACACATGCATACATATATGTACATAAATGTTGTCATGATTGTGTATGTGTGTGCGTGTGTGTGTGTGCTGCCATCGCAAGGGGGTGTAAAAATAAGCGCATGTAAAGTGATCTCAACCCCGCCTCCCACCCCTTAGCAACGAACGCTTATCATGCTCCCTATCCGTATGCGCCTGCGTTTGTGTGTGTGTTTGTGTGTCTGATTGTGTGTATGTGAGTGTAACTGTGTGCGTGCGTGCGTGTCGGGGCTGCGCAGTCGGCTTCCTGCGCGAGGACTTTGACTTGTTCACTTTATTCGTTTTGACTTCGCTCATTCGCTCGTGAGGCCTGCACAAGTGAGGACGTGTCAGCGGCAAACATAACTGAAACCTAGCTCGTCAAAAGAAACTAAATAAATACCATTGTGCATAAAGTAAGCAGCTCGAGTGTTTTTGTTCTTTATAAATATTACAACTAAATCAACACAATTTCAAAAATTAAAGAAATAAAATAAAAACTATGCAAGTATGTGAGTGCACAAACAAAAACTATTTATTAATGCCACTGCGCTAGATCAGCAGAGCAATTTTTTTTTACTGCTGCAAAAGCTACTATGGAACTTTAAAAGCTCTCTGCTGTCGTTCGTTTAAGTGTTTGTGTGCATGTGTTTGAGTGTGTAAGAGAGAGCGGCAATGTTTTTATGTAGAAATATGCGGCAAGTGTCTAACATTTACTCTCGCGCTCTCTAAGAGAGACTTCGGTTTGAGTGACGTACGGCCCATTCAATTAATTTGGACAAGTGCACTACGAAACAATAACAATTACTACGAAAATTGCACTAACAAAAACGAAATAAAAAAGAAAAAGAGCAAGAGCAAAAGCATAAACAAAATCGAAAAACGAAAGGCATGTGTAATAATTAGACAGCAAGTGAAATTGTAAAATTAATGATTTTAAATTAAGTGTACAAAGCAGAGTCGTGCGATAAGATAAGAGCGAACGTTGGCAAACATAAGCAACAAGTGCAAGAGGGAAGGAAATCAGCTAGACTCTATGAATGTGTGTGAGCATGCTAAGGAGTTCCAATGATAGCAAAGAAAAAAGAAGAAAAAAGGCAAAATGAATCAAGTGATAAGTGCTATGAACAATATTTTTCAATGTGTGTGTGTGTGTGTCTCCATATACTTGGATTTGCTGGATCTGGAGCGTTCTACCAAGATTTTCTTATGCCAGTTCAGCTATTCGAAAATTTAATGACTTTTGCTGCTGTGTAAACTTTTGCTCATTCTCCTTTACACAATTTACGTGCCTGTTGCTAAAGCTGTGTACGTGTACGTGTATTTATTTGAGTGTGCTAGTGTGTGTGTGTTTCTCTGGCTGTGTTCGTTTTAATTTGTTTCTCTAAGCTTCCACACCCTTTGGCAAGTTTTCAAGTCTACAGACACTCATACATATGGACGCGTCGTCTATAACAGTTGTCGTCCCACATAAGCAAAATAGCCTAAATAAAAATAAGACCCCGAAGCATTTATTGACTATGTATCAATATTAGGGGGAAATTCAATGCAAATATCCTTGCTGAGTAGACAATAATGGTAAATAAATTGAAGTGTTTGCGTTTGGCGGAATATATTAATGGTAAATATATCACACCACTTAAACAAAGGTGGCCAAGACCCATGTTTTGGTCAAATTTGACACTACTCAAATATGACAAGTTATATTACATTAGCAATTTGTATGGTCTGTAACATTTAGATTAAAAGAAAACTTAACTATTACATACAATTTTCCTGTGTATGTATTCATATGAATTTTCCTGTGCCTTTTGCATGCACGTCGGTTCTACTGGGTAGAGTAGGCACTCATTGAGAGGCTTTCGCTCCGCGCTGTGATCGGTGCGTGCGTATGTATGTGTGCATCTGTGTGGGTGTGTTACTGTTGTTGCTGCTTTTGTCGCTGCTGTTCTTATTGTTATTGTTGTAATTTGCCCATTTGAAACATTTGAAATTTCCATTTAGATTTCCTCATTTAGTTTTTTTTCCTGCCTGCTTGCCTGCTTGCCTGCCTTACAGTCGCTGCCTGCATAATATTCGGACCTTTGCCGTCTATTTGACCTGGCGGGTCGTCTGTTAAATTAAATTTGGTTTGCATTTAATTTATGAGCGACGAATGACGAAGCGTCAAGCGCTGAGCTAGAGCTCATTGTGACCAACCCCTACCCCCACGCCGCCCTTTCCCACTCTCTCAAACTTATTTCCATTTTCCAATCCTTTTGTCATGACATATTTAGGCTTGAGACATATGAAGTACAGTGAACGCTTGCTTGAGCGAATAAATCTTTTTAAATAATTACTTCAAACTTTCAAAGTGTTTAATGAAAAAAAGTTAAAAATAGAGCTTATTGTTGAATTGATAACTAATTGGTTTGCATTTAACTCGGTTCGTTTTGCAGAATTCTTTGATAATATCACCAAAATGTTAAGCAACTGTTGAACTAAAAAGAACTTCAAGGATATTTGTTAAAGTAAAATTGCATGCAATATATGAACGAACGGCATAGAGGAATTTATAAGCCGATCCTCGACCAAAACTTAAACGCCCAATTGACGAAACTGTTAAATTAAAACCCACACAAAACGGCTTCCAAATGAAGATGGCATCTCAACGATTTTGTTTGCGCTGGAATAATCATCAGAGCAATCTGTTATCCGTCTTCGATCAGCTGCTGCACGCTGAGACCTTCACAGATGTGACGCTGGCCGTCGAGGGTCAATACCTAAAGGCACACAAGGTATGTACGATAAATAACTTTACTTATATCAAAGCTAAAACTTACTGTGTTTTCTCTCCCTCTCTCTTTCTTTTACTCTCTAATTGAACAAATGACAGATGGTGCTATCCGCCTGCAGTCCATATTTCAATGCACTGTTTGTCAATCATCCGGAAAAGCATCCGATTGTCATATTGAAAGATGTGCCCTATTCGGATATGAAATCCCTGCTGGACTTTATGTATCGGGGCGAGGTGTCTGTCGATCAGGAACGCCTAACCGCCTTTTTGCGTGTCGCCGAAAGTCTACGCATCAAGGGCCTTACCGAGGTCAACGATGACAAGCCCACCTCAGCGGAAAGTGCACCAGCGCCGCCCCAACTGCAGCGCATACAGCCGTACCTGGTGCCGCAGCAGCGCAAGCAACAGTCCAACGTCTTGGCTGCCAATGCTGCAGCGGCCGCCCTGCAGGCTGCCACGCAGCAGCAGCAGCAACAGCAGCAGCAGCAACAACAACAGCAGCTACAGCAAACATCGCTGCTCAGCTCAGCGCTGATGCCCAAACGCAAACGAGGCAGACCTCGCAAGCTGTCGGGCAGCTCGAATGGCACAGGCAATGACTACGATGAATACGAACGTGAGGGTATTATGAATGTAAGTATCCAAAAAGGAAAAGCTATGAATAGAAATCTATATTATATTATATTATATAGGCTTAAAGTTAAGTTGAAATATAACACATATTTTTATAAGTTTAATTTAATACTTAGTAATTTGCCAGATTTACCTATTTTTATAAATTTTAGATTTTTATTGGCTTAGTAACAGAGTCTAACTTGTAGTGCATACACTATTTTATATAAGCTTTACTAATTTGCAACTTTAATTTGTCAATAGGACTCGGATATGGGCAATGGCAAACTGTGCACCGACTCGTATTCCGGCAATGATGAAGGCTCCGATGACAACCAACAAGAATCTGCCCACCATGATGAACTGAATGTAAGTGTGACCTCTGTGTGCTTCACTCTCGCTGAAGATTGCTTAAATTAATCTTTGACCACTTGAAACAATTTGCAGGAAAGCCGCGACTCGTTGCCAACAAAGAGATCAAAGAGCGGGAAAGATCAGCGCATGGCACAGCAAGACGACAACAGCACTTCCGGTGAGTGGAAAACATTTTCAGTTTTTCATTTGCATTTCATCTTTATGAAAAACAAAAAAAAATCATTTAAATGTAGTCTAAGCTAAACATATCCTTTGCTAGCACTAAGAATCAAACTCCATCATTCAATCAATCAATCAAACAGTCAATCAAACAATCAATCAATCAATTTATAGTCTTTACGAACAGTTTATTAAGTTTTAACTGAGGTAACAATAATCACAATAAACCAGGAAACACAGCACAAGAAATTAATACAAAACAACAAAATAGACAGAACAACAAAAGTAACATTTCGAAAAACATTCGAAAACATTTCGAAAAACATTCGAAAAACTCATTTGCATACATTTCGAATTGTGTTATCGGAAAAGCTAAAAGGGATTTACGCATTTCAAATAGAAAAGGATAAGAAAAACAAAAACGAAAAACGAAGAAAATAAATTCGCGTCGGTTTTACTTTTGTGTACCAAAAAAGTGAGAAATTTTTATTTAAAATAAACAAAAAAAAATTGAAAATATTTAACTGCAATTGTAGTGTGTTTACGAATTCGTTTTGACGCGCATTTGCTGAGTTTCGCATTTCGCCAGGTGAGTGTATCCAATGCAACAACAACCACAACAACAACGATGCCAAAGAAATGCAAATCCACAAATGCTGAAAACAAAAAGAAGAAGAAGAATTTAGTCAAGTTGAAAAATCGGGTTGAAGCTCACAGGGATTTAAGGCCGACGCTTGAAATAAATATTTAAAAAAATCAGAAAAAAAAAACGAATTGAAAAACTCATGAAAATCCGCGTTAAAACCAAAAGCGAAAAATCACAAAAAGAAAAACGTTTTTAAAGAAATCCAAAACTAAAGAAGAGCGAAAAAAATGCTGAAAAATTTTATGGAAAATATTTGAAGAGAAAATTGCTGAAAAGTCTTTTTCGTTTTTTTCGTCGAGCGTAACGCGTTGCTAGTGCTTTGAAATATGGCTTGAAAATCCCTATAGCTTTTCCGAACCGATTTGAAACTTGTTCATTTGTGTTTTTGCCTTTCTTTTGCATACTGTACACACACACTACACACACACCACACACACGCACACTCATACACGCTCAACAGCTTATTTAATAACTAAAACATTTCAACAATTTTTTAGATGGAAATGATAGTGATGGAGATGGCATGGATACCTCATATATGGAGCCACAACTAATGCTGGATGAATACGATGAACCTGTTGAATTCAAATATAATCCTTTGACGGAAAACTCGCCCACGCAGGACCAGAACACATCCACGGACAACCAGCATCTCAACGAGCAAGCGAGACAGCAGGCATTCCTCATAGCAGCACAGCGCAAACATCAGGCGGAATCGGCAGCATTGGCAGCCACAGCCGCTGCTGGTGGCGGCGGTCTGAAGCTCAACATTGTGGGCATTGCCAGCGGTGGCAAGTCCATGGTTAGCATTCCGAAGCTAACGCCCATTGGCAAGGTGAATGCTGCATCTACTCCGCTGGTATCGCCCGCCTCGTCGTCCTCCTCCAAGCCGCGTGCACAGAAGCGACCCAAGCTCAAGCAGCAACAGAATGGAGATGTCGTTAAGAATGCATATGCTGGCGGGCAGGATTATCTGGATCTGTACAATAGCAACGATGGCTTCAAGCCCAAATCGGAGCTACTCGGTGGCAGTACGCCGAATCTGAGCAGCGGCAGCGGCGTGGGCGTTACTCCCGCTGTAAAAACCAAACTCAATCTCAGCAGCAATGTGGGCGAGGGCGAAGCGGAGGGTTCGGTGCGCGACTATTGTACCAAAGAGGGCGAGCATACGTATCGCTGTAAAGTCTGCTCTCGGGTCTATACGCACATAAGCAACTTTTGCCGGCACTACGTGACATCGCACAAGCGCAATGTCAAGGTCTATCCGTGTCCGTTCTGCTTCAAGGAGTTCACGCGCAAGGACAATATGACGGCGCATGTGAAGATCATACATAAAATTGAGAATCCATCGACGGCGATAGCCACTGTGGCTGCAGCCAGTTTGGCTCATCAGTCGCTGGGCGCGGCAGCGGGCAGTACGCCCGCGCCGCCAGATTTGAATGCACAGAATTCGAATCAATCGCTGACAGCGACAAACAATGCGTTATCCACCTCATCATCGTCATCGACGTCATCGTCGAGCGGTTCATTGGGGCCGCTGGCGACCGCAGCAGCGGCAGCGGCTGCTGCAGCGGCGCAGTAATCTCCCACACACACAAACACATACATATAGAGAGCCGCATATTCCAAAATCTAAAAAAAAATAAAGAAAAAGAAAATATATAGAAAAGTCGAAGGCAGGCAGGCGCCAGGCGCTAAATGTGCCTTATGTGCTTTATCACAGCGGAATCAGAGAGGGGAAATATCTATATATGCTATATATATAGTGTATATATATATATATATGTGTACAGACAGAGAGGCCTTTCAACATTTCAAATTTGTTAATTTTTGTTTTTTAGTTATTTAAACTTGACAGCATGAAGTTTCCTCTGTTGAAATGTTTTCATTTTTCACACTCTCTACATATATATATAATATATATATATATATATAAAACTTTTCTTTTATAATTTTTTATACGAACTTTTGTTGTGCAATTATTTTCAATTTAGTTTAAAAAAATCTTTAAAAAAAATAGCACTTAATCAAAAAATAAAAATATATATTATATGTAATATTATTAATCTAACTAATGTAAAAAATATATATATTTATATATATAATTTTTAATGAATGCAGCACCGCAGCGGCCTTATAAAGCATATAAAAATTAAAAAAAAAAAATATTTTCTAAATTAACTAAATTTTAGTTAATGAGAAAAGCTAAACATATTTAACTAAACAACTTTGGTATGCGTAGCTATAGCTCTATTAATTAATTTATATATACCATATGCATATATATATATGTATATATATATATATATATATACATACTAAACATAATGTTCTACGTTTAAATGTTAATATAAATATGTGTGAATCGTGCGAGCTGTAAGGCTTAGCACAGATCTACCTTGTTGCCTTCAAATGAAGCTAGTTGAAAGAAAAAAAACTATAGATTGGTAACGCTATATAGCAGCCCAATCCAAATCGGAAAGAAATTTGTAAAATCAGCCACATGAACTCGAAGCGAAGGATTGCAAATGTTTCGCTTGAGTTTGCTGTGAGCTGCATTAAATGTTTACAAACAGAAACAAAATAAAAAAATATATATTATGTAACAAAATAATTATTGATTAAATATGATTATGTTTACGTTTATGTTCATTATAAAAGAAGCAAAAACAATATATAACTAACGTAGTCTAAAGACCAACTATGCAAATAATTTATCTATCTATTATTACTTTAAAAACCAACAAAAAACAAAAACAATTAAAATTTATGTTGTATATCTCGGAGGCTTAAATTATCGCCAAAGAAATGAAGCAAAACAAAAGCAGAAAATAAAATAAAAATAAAAGTTAAAAAACAAATGAGAATTGAATGCAAAAACAAATAAAAAATCAAGTTAATTCAACAAAACAGCAGCAAAATATGAACACGATCTCCAAAATAAAAAAATAACAAAAAAAGCTTGAAAAAGTTGACAAAGCAAAGAGAAAAATTAAATTTGATTTGAATTTGTTGCATTGCAAAACATTAAATGAAAATACAGCTCCAATTTTTGTTAGCATCAAAATAAAAAAATTAAAAAAAAAATGTAATAAATAATTTAAAAAAAAAAACATTATAATTTATTAAATAATAATTTGTTTTTAATTCTTTATTTAGTGTTAGCTAGTGCAATTTAGTTAAGTTAACGTAAAGCTCTATCCACCAATTCAATAACTCTATGGCTAACCCAACAATAAAACACATAAATATATATACCTATATATCTTTTGGCATTAAAACAGTTATATATGCATACACATAATTATGTATATTGTATGTATTTATATTTTAACTTTTAATTTAAGCTTACGTTTTATATACAAATATGTGCTTTTTTTTTGGCCCACATCAAAACAATTAATGAGGGACTATCCCTAATGATTCTAACACAGCAAATCAATTTCCAACTCGAAAACTCTTATTTTTATTATTATTATTAATTATTATCAGACCTTCCATAATATTATTATTATATTATAATTAAACAGTCATGCTTTTGATGCCCAAAGAAAACAAAAGAAAAATAAAAAATAAACAAATAAAAATAAATAATTAAATTAAAAACAACTTGTTTAAAGGCTAAAGAATAGCTGAACTATATATATATATATATATATATATATATATATATATATATATATATATATGGAGCAAAAATGCATAAGTAAATGAATTAATTAAACAACAATTAAGCTTGTAAAATTAATCAATATTAGTAAATCACGCAATATTATTCATTTAAAAACAAAACAAAAAAAAACATATTTTGTTATATTTTATTACGAAATACGATAAATGATTATTATTATTATATATCGATTAACTGACAAATGTGAAGAGAAATAAAATACACACACACAACAACAACAACAAAAACAGTTCTGTAAAAGAAACAAATTGTTTGAGTTTTATTTTTATTTTTTAAATAAATTAGTTTTTTATTAATTTATAAAACTGAACTAATAATTAATATGAAGAAATATTAAAATATATATATTTGATATATAGTAGTTCGATCAAAAGTTGTAGCAAAAGCTGATCAAATTATTTATATTTTATATTTAAATTATTTTTTATGGCTGACTGCAGATCGAATTTTCAATTGCTTAAAATTTGATTAAATAATTTCTTTCACATTTTTAATGTACAGCAAATGCTTTATCTAGCTAGATCCAAACTTGATTTAAAGTTCACAAATTTCAAAATTTCTTGCATGCAGCTACATTAGTTAGGCGAATATATAGTACTAGCCCAGCTGCATGATAAGTCTATAATAATAAATTCATAATAATATTTGTTTGGATTACATAAGATGAGGCCGATCTATGCTAAAATCGCTAACAGTTATCAGACAAGTAATAAAGTCTCGTGATTTTTTTTCAATTTTTGTGAATATCTATTATGTTCTCAAAATAATCCCTATCAGAAATTAGATACACACTCGAAGCACTTTAAACAATTTTATGTTGCTGCCTCTTCGATGCCGTCTTTCGTGGACATCTTCAGATTCAAGGATTACGGATTAATCCGTGACAATTAAAAATCAAAATTTGAACAAATCTCGTATTACTATATAATATTTTTAATATACATAATATTTCAAGTCCTTAGCTGTGCTCAGGTTTTTGTACCTTTAAGCTTTATTTAATTTGCTTTTGATTTTTTTTATATACAATTATCTACCCTACATTTTATAGATCAAGCAAGACCTAAGTGAGTTTATACATGTGATCAGGTTTTATAGTCAGACTATATTAAATTTGTTCATAAACATAAATAAATATATACATACTTAAAGACAATATGGAATAGCCCAGCTTAATATAATTTGAATCAGTTGAATATATATATTTTATAAAAATTGCATATCCTGTTTCAATTTATAGCCACGCCCGAGCTCTCGCAGCGACTGTTCGGCTCGGCATCCACGCATATCTCGACTGCTGCCACGGCAATAGAGACGTCGTCATCGCCACGGGAAGCTTGCGACATTGGCGTCACGGCACCTTTGCACCTGCCCACCATATTGGGCCTGAAGATACGTGCGATTAATGCCGGCAATCAGTCACAGACGCAATCACAATCCCAGTCGCAGTCACAGTCAAAGGCTGTGCACAACAACAACAATAGCAATAGCAACAGCAATAGCAATAGTAATTCGCTGCTGAAGCAGCAGCTGCGTGGCGGTGCCAAGGATCCGGATACGTTGGTGTCGCTAGCGGCGCCAGCAGTGGCCACTGAGGAGGCCAACGAGCAGGAGAGCAGCTGCAGCGCGCTGCAGTCACTGGCCAATGCAGCAGAACGGCAAGCGCAGCAGGCAGCCAGCAGCAGCAGCAATAGCAACAACAACAGCAACAGCAGCAACAACAACAGCAGCAACAACAATAACAATTCCAGTCTGCATCAGCAGCTGCTGCTGCACATGGCTGCCACGGGTAATCCGTTGCGCAAGTCGGACTTTTACCAGGCACAGCAATCGCAGGCGCCACAGCCGCCAGCCTCGCAATCACCGCCCACCGCCGAGACCAGCTTCGCGGATGAAGATCTGGAATTGCTCTGTGTGGTGGACAAGAGCGATGAAACGGATCATGAGCTGTTGACGCTGGCCGATGAGAATGCTGGCCTGCCCGGCTATACGGCGACGCATGAATCGTTTGAGGAGCCGCTGCCCAACATTGAACGCAGTCCAGCCCGCCCACGCACCTCCGGCACGGCCAAGCGGCCCATACAGCGACGGCGTGTGCGACGCAAGGCCCAGTCAACGCTCGACGATCAGGCCGAGCATCTGACGGAGATGTCGGTGCGGGGCTTGGATCTGTTTCGCTATGCGAGCGTCGTGGAAGGCGTCTATCGGTGCACCGAGTGCGCCAAGGAGAACATGCAGAAGACCTTCAAGAATAAGTATAGCTTTCAGCGCCACGCCTTCCTCTATCATGAAGGCAAGCATCGCAAGGTGTTTCCCTGTCCGGTGTGCTGCAAGGAGTTCTCCCGGCCGGACAAGATGAAGAATCATCTGAAGATGACACACGAGAATTTCACGCCGCCCAAGGACATCAGCGGCTTTAGTCCGCTCAAGTATCTGATCTCTGCGGCAGCAGCGGGTGATATGCACACAACAATCTACCAGCAACAGCAGCAGCAGCAACAACAGCAACAGCAGCTTGAGCAGCAGCAACAATTGGAGCAGCAGCAACAGTTGGAGCAGCAGCAGCAGCAACAACTGGAGCAGGAGCAGCTGCTGTTGCTGCCTGATGTGAAGCAGGAGCAGCAGGAGCAGCAGGAAACGGAACAACAGCTAGCCGGCTATCCAGCACCTGCCACGCCCACAACAGCAGCAGCCGCAATGCTCAGCTTGCAGCATGACGTCATCATCAAGAACGAGATACAAATCTCGCCATCGCCATCGCCCTCACCGCCAGCCATGTACGGAGTGGGAGGCGAGGGCAAGAGCCTGCCGCCAGTGCCAACAGGTGTCAACTGACGTGGGAGAAACGGAGTGAAAGGGGAAAAGGAGTGAGAGCAGGAGACAGTAAGAGAGGGCTAGCGAGAGTGAGATAGAGGGCAATGGATAAAGAAAGACGACAAAAGGGAGCGATAAAGAGAATGAGGACAGATGAGAGAGGGAGAGAGAAAGAGAATAAGAGAGTGTAATACAGAGAGAGAGAGAGAGAGAGAGTAAGAGAGAAAGAAAGAAGGAAAGTGAGAGAGAGAGTGAGAGTGAGAGAGAGCGTGCCTTAAACAAAACACACAAAACTGTAAAATACTAAAATACTGAAATATTAAAATACTTATAGCTAAGCAATTGTCAGAAGCAGGGGCGTAGAGGCAAAGTGTTGGCAGAAAGGGGGTCAAATGAATACTGCAAAACTGACTATCTAAAAGTGAATCAAGCATTCAAGAACTGCATATACGATATGCGATATTATATTTATGCATTTACCTGGGCGAGCTCTTCTTAAACGACATTCAGCACACGCCCCTGGTCAGAACTCAAAACGAACTCAAACGCATACAATCTATATACATATAGATATAGTTAATAGTTACTAGATAATAGTTAATACCAATCCTTAAGGACCTTTAATGCACATCAGATAGCGAAATTCGTTAGTTAAGCAATAAATATTTACAGTAATAGCAATAAGTTCAACAAGGTTCCGTCCATAAAAAGCCTTACGTTTTAGTTCTATAGACATTATGTACTTAATAATTAATTAGTCTTAAGTCCAAATGCAACTGATTAACTAGTAGAAAATTTCTTAAAACCCACTGCCTTCAAAACTTTTAGAATTTTGATTTAGGTCTGATTTAAATTATAAATTGGCATTGCTGTGTCATAAGGCAATTGTCAAGTGACGAGTGAATTTACTCGTTAATGTGAAGCAACGAGTAAGTTAACTTGAAATGAATTGATTGCGGTGCAGTAACAAGTTAATTTACCCGCTACATTAAAGCAACGAGTGAATTTACTGGCCATAAAGGAGCAACGTGTGGGCTAACTCAATGTCTGTAAGGAATAAATTGATTAATGTGTAGTAACAAGAAAAGCAACGAGTAAACTTTCTTGCTATAATGAAGCTGCGAGGTAATTCTTGACAGTTACTATCTATTTTACTCCCGACTGACATAGAATCAATGAGTGAAATCACTCGATATAATGAAGCAACGAATTACTTCACTTATTGCACTCGCTACATAGAAGCAATCAGTTATTTATTTTGCATATGAATGCAACGAGTCAACCCACTCGAGCGATCTTACCACGCCTTACGCAGACAACTGTGTGCTTAAGAAACCAACGAGTAGGCGCCGTCCAACTAAATTAACTCGCTACTTTCTCCTCGTTACGTTATTTTTTTTATTTTTGTTTATTTCTTGTGTGATTTTGTTGAACTGTATTTTGTTTAGTCTTTTATTTTTATATTGTTGTACATAGTATTACGTTGAAATACTCAAAGACCGTAGATTAATGGGTGTGTGGTCTATTGGTCATACAAGAAACCGAAACCCCGCTGAATTGGCTAATTGTGCAATTATCAAAAAAGAAATCATAATGAAAATTATAACTATGTGGCGTCTGGCCTGCCCGACCCATGTAAATGTTGTAAACTTAATTAACGACTACTTAATTATGCTCTAGCAGACTTTTTAGATCTTAAGTATAGTATATACATTTATATATATCTTCGATCTAGTTACTATATAGTATATATAATGTATAACTCGTTTCTAAGGCATTGTCGAAATGCGCAACGGACTTCCAGTGAATAATAACTGATATTCTTACTTAAGCTCAATAATGGATACTATCATCAACAAGCTGTTACTCAATTGATTGCCTTAGTGTCTTACAAATAACACAAATCGTACGCACAAAAAAAAACAAAGTACTCAGCATTTCATATTATGTATTTTTTCGATACATATATATATATAATTATAATTATATATATTTACTTAAAGCAATCATTACGACTTAAGCTATCAATGCGCTCAATAAATAGATTTTATACACTTTTATGGGAGTAATGATTTTTCTTATTTCAATTTTGGATCTTTCAACTACAACTTTTTGTCCTTAAACTAAAATATATAGAAAAACCATAAAAAAACATATGCTCTTACATATATTCTAAATATTGGACTTTAAAAGTTAGGCTGCATCAATTTAGAGGACAAATTGAAATGGTTTAGTTTAAAAATACTAAAGTGGCGCCATCTATTGTGAGGTATAAACATCTTTTGAAATTTGAAGCATACTTATGGGCGGCGCAATTGTTACAATAGGTAATGTAATGATAAAAAAACAAATGAAATTATTTTTATCAGTTTTTTATTTTATTAAAATCCTAGTCTAACACTTATTGATTATTGGCACGACGATACCAAAAACGTGCACGGAAATCATCGGAGCAGGTGAGAAAAGCTGGCGCATTAGGTGAATGGGTTATGTAGCGCACAGGTCCGTTGTGACCCAGAGAGTTTAGTGTGAGGCGACAGCCATTACGTGAGTTCCACGAACACAAGGATGTGGTTGCCTCATCAGGGAATAGAACATAGTCTTCAGTGTGGTTGAAAACAGCTTCCGCTTGATGCTCCTGCTTGCCCGTGGTGCCTGCGCCAGTATAGGTTTGTATGGGTCGACTTGTGCAGAGCTCCCACAGATATACAATCGAATCCATGCCAGATGAAAGCAAGTACTACAAGAAAGATGGTATGCTTATGATACTAAACTATTTATGGTCTGGTAATTTACTAACCTTTCCGTTTCGAGTAAATTGCAAGGAGCAAATGGCTGCTCCACTGTGTGCCTCAGCAATGGTGTTGATGCAACGTCCACTGATACCGTCCCAGATTTTGATGTCACCGTCGAAGCTGCCGGTTGCATAGAGCTTTGCTGTGGGCGAATATTTGACACAGGTTACGCCGGCTTTGTGCTGTTGCGATGGAATGGCGCTAACGAAACACTGCGTTGTTTGCACATCATAAACACGCAGCACATTGTGCTCCGTTCCAATGGCTATGTAGTCGCCAGTGGGGTGAAAGGATACACATAGCACTGGTTCACAATCGGTGAGAACTTTGTGCGCCTTCTTCACCGACGGCTTGGCAATGTCAAAGAGTTTGACGGTGCCATCGCGCGATGCTGACGCCAGAATATGCTCCTTAGGATGAAACTCTAGGTACGATACTTCATCCGTGTGATCATAAAGCGTGCGTATAACTGGATGACCCTGTTGCTCGCGCCCCGGCTCGATATCCTCTGGCGCGGATTTGGCCAACATGCGCTCCACATCCAATATTTTAATACTGGCATCCACACTGCCCGTGGCGACCAAAGACCCATCGAAGCTGAAGGCACCAGCACGACAAGCCTGCTTGTGCGATGTCACATAAGCGGTTTCATAAGAATGCGGCTCAGGAGCCAGTGCTGATGCTTCTGGCTCAAATTCTAGATCAATACCCGGCAGCACATCATCCGTATTAGTTTTATCCTTCTCGGACATTGTTTGCATTCCGGAAATCATAACATGCAGCAGACGCTCGCTTGGAGCGCACTGATCCGCTTTGACAAGCATGGACAGCTCCATGGCAAATTTTTCCAAGCCATCGTACATCAACTGGCTGCACATGGAGAATATTAATAAGAAAGAAGCCTTACAAGCAATCAGTTTAAGCATACCTTATCATTAACCGGTACAATATCTCCCGGTTTTTAACCAAATTATGTGGATCTAAAATTTCGTCGCGCATCTTTCTTTACAAATATATAATTAGTGATGTACGAAAACATCAAAACATCGCTGTATCGATATTTGCCGGCGTTTGTTCGCAGTGCCTTTCAATTGTCTGTCGATATTTATTTAAATGAAAGTCGTGCAGCAATCCTAATATCGATAGCGAACTATTTCGATAGCACACAGCTGCAACACGTGCAACTGTTTTGTTTTCATTGCTATCATTTTTAACAATTTAACAGACAGACAATGAAAATTCGTAAGAATCATGTGCGTAAGCGTTACCGCTACAATGTCAATCGGAAAACGATGAATAAAACACGAAAATCCACTGGCAAAATTAAGGAGTAAGTATCCTGGCATGCAACTGTTGACATTCAAAACTATATGCGCGCTTTACAGTCCAGAGATGAAAAAATTGTGGCTGGAAGGAAAGCGCGTGGGCACCAATTTCAGTGAAATGGGCTTGGCCAGTGATCCAAACAAGTCGGTGGGCGTACCAAATTATAAACGCGAAAGGCTTGAGGCTGTAAAAATTGTAAATGGCTTAGCCGAGGAGGCGCTCGACGAGGACGAGCTGGCAGCTCTGGGTTCTAAAAGCGACAAAACAGAGACGCAAAAACCAAAACGGGGGCACGTCGTCCAAGAGCTTGAGCAGATGGCAATCGATCGAAGATCTGATCCCGAGTTCAGGTAAGCATTCAAAAATATCTTATATGCTGTATTATTTACCCTTTACACTGAAATTACAGATTACCGAAGGGCGTGGTAAAGGAACTCTCATATTTCATTAATAAGCACAAATTCAACTATAAAGCCATGGTGGCAGATCGTCGTAATCATGGCCAATGGACCTGGAGGCAATTCCGTCTGAAAATACGTAGATTTATGTCTATACCAGAACAGTTTAATGAATACCTGGAGCAGAAAAAACTTCCCATAGATGTTAAACCAGATTGGCCAGAATACGAGTCGGACAGTGAATGGAAATAACTGCTAATGTATAGAATATAGAAGATATAATATATAATATATAGAAAAGAAAACATGCAAAAGTGTATAATTCATAGATCAATTTTAGTTTAGTATATTTTAAAGGCAATTACGAAAATTAATAATTCGAAATCACAAATTTCTCTGTCTTAGGAATGCCTTCGAATTATTCAAGGCATAAATATAATTTTTAGCTTAAAAGTTATTCAAACCCCCTAATTAAAAAATAATGTAGATTGAGCTTGCACTGCAATCAAGTCTATCCACCATCGCACTGCATATGAAAAATCGAAGAGCTGACAGCAACGTATAGCTAACGGTAATGTCGCCTCTCATAATTTCTTCTTCTTGAAGTGCTAATCAAAAATACATTGTGCTGTCAATTAGCGTCGACTGTTTAAAATTGCCCGCAATTTTCAATTTGCCATCCCATGTCTATCCCTTGCCCCAGTTGGTTGGCTACTCTGTCTGTCATTCGGCGTTGCATCATCGTGCATCGGCTGTCGGGCTTCGGTCTCTTCGTCAACCGACTGCCTGTTTCTGACGATTTCGGTCTTTCCGTTTTCTGGTTTCGAGGTAAGTGCACGTACAGAGTACAGAGTACAGAGAGTCCGTGCAGCTTTCTTAAAATCCTTAAATAACGCTATCACTAATAACCATCGATTAATTATTTGTGTTTTAAATGCCAAAAAAGTGATTGTGCTTATTCAAATGTTTATTATTGCTGCTTATTTCAAACCGTATCAAGGGTGAAAGGAGGCTTCAATTTCGTGCGTTTACCGGCCGGTGCCTCGATTGGAGGTTTTGCATAATACGTGTGTGCATGCATGCATGCTTATGTATGTAACGGTATCCGTGTGCATACGTATAATGTTTATTATTACCAAAATAACAAATATTCATATTATTGAATTACATATGTATGCACATATCTGTGAAAATAGAATATACTCTACATAACGTATTTGCATACATACATACGTACATTGATACACAAATATATGTACATATGCCCAGCTCTCTGGTAAATTCCAAAATGGCGGCCGTGGCTGCAGAAGTCTGCAGTTTCGCATGTGCTTGTGTGTGAGTGTGGGTCTGTGAGCTTCCCTATGCTTGCTGCACAGTTATGTTGCCAAATTTAAAGTGAGTCAACATAATACATGTTCCATACATATCTCTGTACATGTATGTACGTGTATTGCCTCAGATTTGCGGGCAATTCAATTACAGAGCTGCAGGGAGAGAGAGACTGCATGGCAAAGTATTTTTATATTTCCCTTTAAGGTTCTTCCTCTTTATAATTTGCACTTGTGTGCAAATGCACACACACACACACATGTACAAATGTTGTTAAAAATAACTAAAGAAAAAGCGCAAGTAAAAATTGTTTCTAGGCTAGAAAATAAATCACGCTAAAGAGGCAATGCACACACACACACATAGGGGTACACATATGCATCACATCTGCATGTATGCACGTTTGTCTCCTTGTTGTTTTTGCAAGTTTATCCAAGACGACGTCGACCAACGGAAACGATGAGCAAGTGCAACCCGAAGCAGCGGCATTTATGGCTCTGCATACCAGTGTGCGTATGAGTGTGCTAGTTTTGTATGTGTGTGTGTGTGTGTTTGCAGTTTTTCACCCTTTCGAATCGTGAACAGAGAAAAGAGCACACGAATGCCGCAAATGCCGGCGATGAGCAAAAGCTACAAATACCGTTGCAGTCGCTCTTTACCACCAACATTGATTTTCATCACCTTCTCCTTCGCTGTGCCCCTTGAAATAAATTGAGTTATAATTGTTGTTAAATTATTGTTGTACTACAACAAAGCTATTGTCTGTAGAGGTATTCATAGCTTGCCACCTGTTCTTTTTTTCTTTGACTAAGCCCGTCCTGAAATGCTACAGACCGGACATTGTTGAAATACTGCAGATGGGTCGGTGAGGGCGACATGTCGGTGGGGACTTGGGGAGTGCATTCGGCAACGTAGCCATTCGGCTCAGTCTCGCTTTTCAGCTCCAGAAGCTCTCGTCGTTTGTCTGGGTTCATTATTGATTTTTCGTTTCAACTATTGAGACTCTTTGCTTGCATACTTATTGTCCAGATTTTCCGCGATTGACTAACGTACAGACGTGTGTCGGCCGCAATTGGTAATTTCTAAATGTGAAACTTTAATAAAAATATTACAAATATTCATTTCCCTTCTGTGTTTAGCGTATAAAACTACGAATTTTCCATTATTGCGAAATAGCTAATACTTTGATGTGAACTTTTTTTTTTTCAGTGCATCGCCAATTGAAGCGTCTGTAAGCAGCAAGTTACATTTTAACCTATTTCCGGGTGAGTTTTATTTAAATTTTTGATAAAAAAATTTGTTAATATATAATTCTATATACACATTTACAAGTATGTACGTATGTATGATGTACATAAATACATATATTATACATATATGTATTATACAAATACATATATTATTGGACCGACTTAAAGCCGGTTGATACCGGTTAGGGTACTTTTCTTTTGTGAAATCTAAATTGGACAATTCAAAATGAGTATATTAAGTGAAAAGTGAGAGCTCTTGCAGGAAATTGCAAAAGTATGTTAGATTTCCAATGCATCCTTTAAGTGCATAAGTTACATAGAAATGTATATACATATCAGCATAGCTGCAGCTGCAGCTGCGGCAGCATTTAAGTCTCTACACCGCGAACAGAGTCGCGCCCACTTCCACGCCCACACCTTAGCCATACATATAAATACATACATACATAGATACATACATACATATGTATGTACATAGGTATGTACATGTGCAAGTCCTGGCTACGCTCATTCGTGGTCTTACAGCACACGCCTAGTTCTCTCTCCTTCATTCTCTCTCTATGACACCCACTCTCCAAATTTGATATATATGTACATGAATCTACGTATTTATATATGTGTATGTCATTTGCCCTGCAGGTTGTATCAAAAACTACTAAACTAAAAAAGGAAAAAAAAATAGATTGTTAGAGCTCAGAGACTTCAAAGATTCGTCGCGTCGTTGATAACATAGCAGAACCATGGGCAAGGAGAAGATTCATATTAACATCGTTGTTATTGGCCACGTTGATTCGGGCAAATCGACTACCACTGGCCATTTGATTTACAAATGCGGCGGAATCGATAAGCGTACGATTGAGAAGTTCGAGAAGGAAGCCCAGGAGATGGGCAAGGGATCGTTCAAGTATGCCTGGGTGCTCGACAAACTGAAGGCTGAGCGCGAGCGCGGTATCACTATTGATATTGCATTGTGGAAATTCGAGACGGCCAAGTATTATGTGACTATCATCGATGCGCCCGGCCATAGGGATTTCATTAAGAACATGATTACCGGCACTTCGCAAGCCGATTGTGCTGTTCTGATTGTAGCTGCCGGCACGGGTGAGTTTGAGGCTGGCATCTCGAAGAATGGTCAGACTCGTGAGCATGCGCTGTTGGCCTTTACGTTGGGCGTTAAGCAACTGATTGTGGGCGTCAACAAGATGGATTCGACAGAGCCGCCGTACAGCGAGGCACGCTACGAGGAAATCAAGAAGGAGGTATCCTCGTACATCAAGAAGATTGGCTATAACCCAGCCTCGGTCGCATTTGTGCCCATTTCGGGCTGGCATGGCGACAACATGCTCGAGGCATCTGAGAAGATGCCCTGGTTCAAGGGCTGGACCGTCGAACGGAAGGAGGGCAAAACGGAAGGTAAATGCTTGATTGACGCGCTGGACGCGATTATGCCGCCCCAGCGTCCTACTGACAAACCGCTGCGCCTGCCTCTGCAGGATGTCTACAAGATCGGTGGCATAGGGACAGTACCAGTTGGTCGTGTGGAGACGGGTGTTCTCAAACCAGGTGAGAAATTCATCTGTTAAATTAGCTTTTCTCCGACTTATACATACGTTCTCTGTTTTCAGGCATGGTGGTAAACTTTGCTCCCGTTAACCTGGTCACTGAGGTGAAATCCGTGGAGATGCATCACGAGGCATTGACCGAGGCTATGCCAGGCGATAATGTTGGATTTAATGTAAAGAACGTTTCGGTTAAGGAGTTGCGTCGTGGCTATGTAGCTGGCGATTCGAAGAACAATCCACCACGAGGCGCAGCCGACTTTACTGCTCAGGTGAGTGGCTTTGATGGCAATCGAAAGGGTTTTGATTTGATTTATAATGTTACATGTTTATTCTCTTCAGGTAATTGTGCTCAATCATCCTGGGCAGATTGCCAATGGGTATACCCCTGTATTGGATTGCCATACGGCACATATTGCATGCAAGTTTGCCGAGATCAAGGAGAAGTGCGATCGCCGTACGGGCAAGACCACCGAGACCGAACCGAAGGCCATCAAATCTGGCGATGCAGCCATCATAATGCTGGTACCCACTAAGCCATTGTGCGTTGAAAGCTTCCAAGAATTTCCGCCGCTGGGACGGTTCGCAGTTCGCGATATGCGTCAAACTGTGGCGGTCGGTGTCATCAAATCGGTGAACTTTAAAGAAACGACCTCGGGCAAAGTAACAAAAGCCGCTGAGAAGGCACAGAAGAAGAAATAACTAGGGTGTCAGCAGACTTGTAATTCAAATAACAACAACAACAACAACAACAACACTCAAACACTTAAACAGCAAACGGCAAAAGCAACAACACACTTAAAATTTATAGTATCTACTCATCATAGACGAGCAAAACTGATGCAAGGGCTTAACACAGAGTTCGTGGCGTATAAAACTTCATCACCTACAACTATTAACTGCTGCATTCATATAATATATAAACTTGAAGAACTATTGCAATTTATTATAAACACACATACAATTAGTAGCGAGGGTATGCCAACAACACTGGTTCGAGCACCCCTCGCTGTACGTGACGAGATCGAAACGAATGGACGCATTGTTCACTTAGAATCTTTCCCGTCTGCGTACACAAAATCCATCACCATCATATTCATAATCATCATATACTCTAGCTATTTAAACTTGTTTCGCCACCGCAAATCGTTTCGCAGGAAACAGTCTTGCATTGAGCATTACAATGATCAGAATGTAATCGCCACTGGAGTTTGCTGCTAGCCCGGCACACACCCTCCATACACCCACTACTTGCCCCTCATTTATCACATCCGCCATTATTTCAATCAATGGATTTTAAACACTTTTTATACTTTTGATAAGTCAGTCGGAGGCATTCGATTTAAAATCTATATATTATATAAAGTAATTTTCAGAATATAGTTTTAAAACACTCTACATCTTACAAACCTTAAACCTAAAACAAAAAAACAAACAAAAACAAAAATCAAGACTACATTCGCAATGAATTCAAAATTTTTCCCAGAAAAAAAAAAGACAAATGCTTAAGAAGTATTACAAAAATAATATTCATAAATACATAATCATGTGCGGTTTTGTAAACATTCTAAATGTTCTATTGAGCCTCATTGGCATTTGCATAATTTAATCAAATGTTTCTCATAAACGCGATTAACCACATAACAAGCATATGCGTACATACAAACATACATAATGCATTCATTGTCGTTACTATGAAACTTATTATTGTAACCCACAACAGAAAACAATTCATGGATACAGAAAATGTTGCTTAATAAACAGAAAATGATCTTTTAATGTATTAATTGAGAAAATAAAAATAAAGAATGCTTAACCGTAAAATACAACAAATACATGCTAATTGATTTAATTTAATTTTAATATTTTAATCGTTAACTAGAGGAAATTGGAGAATATTCGTAATCAGGTTCATTGTGCACAGGGTATTGTGCGGTCGGTGCTGAATTTAAATTTACTCCGCGTACTGAGCTTATTTCATGCCCAACTGATTTTCGGAACTGGAACTATTATGAATTTAGTGAAAGGTGTGGCAACTCTGCAAGCTGACTCACAGGCGGCATTTATAAACAACAAAGCAACATAAGCTCAGCCGGCCGTGCTGAAATTTCCGATAAATTAAATAAATAACTTGAAAGCAACAACTTATTTTGATAATTGAATAAAATTTATAACTGTGCGAGTACTTATAAATCAATATAATCACAGATATGGCAGATCCACGCATAAGGCAGTTAGTTATAAAAACGGGTGTTGTCAAGCGCCTGGCAAAGGAGAAGACCGTTTACGAGAAGGAAGTTAAGACAGAGTTTGTTCGTCTCGAGAAATTCAAAACCGACGGCGCTGACGAACATGTAATACGCAAACAGGAAGAGGTGATACAGGAATGCCAGATGATGATACCAGACTCAAAGCGAAGGTGACTCATATAATTACACCACTCAGTTTTAAGCAATATTAAAAAAGCTGTAATTTTTCACAGACTGCAAAAGGAGTTCGAAGTGTTGCAAAAATATTTGCAGGATGAGCAGGATCTCAAAGAAACCGAAGCATACACAAAGGCAGCCGAGATGCTAAGCGAAGCAGAAGCTGTTCTGAAATCATAGGACAACAGCTGGTACAATGCAGTCAACCATATTCTTCCCTGTATTTTATTTTTACTGAGCAACCCACTCTCAATATATTTATGTATTTTCCAACGTTAACCAACACTGATAACTAATATGCCGCAAGGTCTCAAACTAAGCGAAATAAAGGCAAATATTAGTAATGTTATTGAGAATTTAAAATTTTTGGAAGCTGCAAGCAATGCGTCAGCAAACGATTTCGACTTGGAGCAATCTGCCCAGTTGGAAAGACACACTACAAATTTATTAGCGAAACTGACGGAAATGCCATGTGAAAAACTTGCACGGACTCAGCTAAAGCGTAAACAAAGACGCCAAAAGGCTAAACAGAAAGCTAAGTTACAAATGAAACTCAATAGGTCTACTCCGATATCTGTCAAAGTTGCCATATCATCACCCCCAACGACTTTAACATGCGAGGCACGTCTGAAAGCTCCTAAGCAAGCTGAACATATAACACTCAAGAAACATCATGATGCCTCTAATATGCTGCACACATTGGACTTGCTGGAAAGATTGTACCGGGCTCGTGGTGGCAAAGGGGAGTTGAGTGAAAAACTCACAAGAATGCGAACAGTTTGGCGGCGTGTGCAGCAGGAGAGCATTAATGTAATCAATCAAGAAGTGCCCACCAACTGTGAGGCGCAATGGTCCAAAACTATTTTTGGAAGTTCTGCGATGCCTTCCAGACAAGAATATTTGAAGGGACGTAATACACAGGAATTTGTGGAGCGGCGGTAATCTCCGTTTATAGCTTTAAATGGTCATCGTAATAAATATATCTATTTTACAGAGCCATTTGGGATTCGTATATAAGTTCCGGCAAAGTCGGCAGCAGCATACCCCACGGCTGGGTATTGCCAAGGGAAATGCCATCAGCAGAGTGGGCCAAATATAAATGTGAATAAAACACGTACAGATATAAATAAGTAAATATTGTGGAATTTTTATTCTTTCAAAAAGAACTGCATTTAGACTTAGTGAGTACCGAACAGATCAACGCATTGCATTTTGAATCTATTCGTAAATCCAGTCCTTGGCAGCTGGTGCCCAAGTGACCAGTTCCTTCTCGTTGAACCAGAGACCGATCTCCTTTTCGGCAGACTCAACAGCGTCGGAGCCGTGAATAATATTGCGGCCAACCTGAATGCAGAAATCACCACGAATGGTGCCGGGCAAGGAGTCAGCTGGGTTGGTAGCGCCCAACATTTGACGGCCAGTCTTAACCACATTAAGACCCTCCCACACCATGGGAACCACTGGACCGGAGTTCATGTAGTTGACCAAACCGGGGAAGAAGGGGCGGGCAGAAAGATCAGCATAATGCTTCTCCAACAAGTCCTTATCGGCCTGCAATTGAATGTAATTAACGTGTTAATGTTACGCTAATGTAAAGCTAACATCTTCGTGACCTCTAAAATTAGATGCATATGTAGAATATAACCTCAACCGGCCATTTGCAATATCAGCAAGGGCAACCCCTTGCGTGTTGAGGTTAAACACGACAACTCAACACGCGTACTTATTGATTTCTTAATTCAATTATGCGGCCGGCTTTACTTACCCACATGAACTTCATTGCTACCAATTTGAAGCCCTTCTGCTCAAAACGCTCGATGATTTTGCCAACAAGTCCTCTTTGGACTCCATCGGGCTTCACCATGATGAAAGTGCGTTCCTTGTTGGCGGCCATTGCGTATGAGAATAGGGAATAAAATGCCAAGAGCGAAGCAATCATCAGTGTTGAGTTTTTCATTGAAGAAGTGTGCCCATATTCGGAAAGCATGAAAACACCAAATATTTACAGTAAAAACAAGTAAATAATATTTTATTTAATTAATAATATAATTAACAACATTTATTATTAAAACATAAATTATGTTTTGCTTAATTCATTATTACCATTTTTATTAATACATACTTTTACATCCGAAAATTTTTTGACTACAGTAAACATATGATTTTAAGCGCTTGGAACTTGTTCACCGGAGTCTCTTATCGGTTCTTACTTATTGTGAACGATTTCACCCATCTCTATCGTAAACTGAATTTGCCAAAAAATAATTTTAAGCGGTCGCATTCATAATGGTAAATAATATAAATATCAGTTTTAATATTAAATAAAAATACATTTTCTTTAGTTTTCATTATTACACAAAGAGGAAAATGCACATGACAATGCACTCTGGGCATGCGCCTGGGGACGCGACCCAGAGCCGGCAACTGACGAAGCGAGCGCTGTAGAAGAGGAAGAGAATCCATTTGATTTTGACAAAAAAGAGAAGAAACCAACGGATTTCATAGTGACCGGTGGTCTAGACGATTTGGTCAAGGTATGGGATGTACGTGAAGATAATACCCTGAAACTTCGACACAAGCTAAAAGGCCATGCCCTTGGTGTCGTCTCTGTTGCCGTTAGCTCCGATGGCCAAAGTATGAAGCGCTAGTTCATTAATTAATTATTTAAGCTATAATTCAGAAAATATGATTTGACAGCAATTGCTAGCAGTTCGCTGGACTCTAGCATGTGCCTGTGGAATGCCAAAACTGGCGATAAGAAACATATGCTAACTTTCGGGCCAGTAGATTTGTGGACAGTGGGCTTTTCGCCGTGCAACAAGTATGTCATATCTGGCCTAAACGATGGTAAAATTTCAATGTACAGCGTGGAGACTGGCAAAGCAGAACAGGTGCTAGACGCTCAAAATGGCAAATACACGCTTAGCATTGCATATGTGAGTAAACAAACTATTTTATAATAGCATAACAGCTAAAGTATTCAATTGTAGAGTCCTGATGGCAAGTACATTGCTAATGGCGCAATTGATGGCATTATTACCATCTTCGATGTGGCTGCTGGAAAAGTGGCCCAAACGCTGGAGGGTCATGCCATGCCTGTGCGCAGTCTCTGCTTCTCGCCAAACTCCCAAATGCTGCTCACTGGGTCTGATGATGGACACATGAAGCTCTACGATGTGTAAGTTCACTTCATCTGTTGATTTTTAGTGAATGAAGCTTCAAATGTCGAAAATCTATTCAAATTATAGTGCACATTCTGATGTAGTTGGCACATTGTCTGGCCACGCCTCCTGGGTGCTGTGTGTCTCCTTTTCGGAAGATGGCAAACATTTTGCCAGCTCGTCCAGTGATCGGAGTGTTAAAGTCTGGGATACAGCGGAACGCAAATGTTTGCACACCTTTAACGAACACACAGATCAGGTGTGGGGTGTACGTTATAGCCCCAGCAACGATAAAGTAATATCTGCTTCAGAAGATAAGTCTTTGAACGTTTACAACTGTCCACCGAACGCCATTGTGTGATACAAAATATGCATCAATGCAGTTTGTAAAATAAAAGATAGGTTTAAATTAATAACAAGCATTTTAACTAAGATGACTTTCGATTCAATTCATAACTAATTTGGCTATTCTGTACTTGGATTTTCTTGGATCAGCTTTTGCTTAGTTTGTGTCAGCAATTTGTCCTTATATTTTTGATCAGGTATATAGATGTTAAACGTCTTGAAGTAGTACAGAATATTTGCTGTAAGTAAAATCAGTTAGCTCATATTTAAGATTGACATTTTTTAACCTACCAACATGCGCCTCTTTTAGTTTGTACTGATCAGCTATTTTCATAGCTGTCCACTCTTCGGGTGCTATCTGATGGTCGTTGATAAATTGCATTGCCTGTCGCAGTGTGCAATGCCCGCTCGATGTTTTTGTTGGCTCCATGTAGCCATACTCAAAGTCATCCGGAGTGGTTCGCTCTAAGGGCAGCGGTCTGTCAGTTTCTTGGCGTTGCAATACTCGTTGAATCTAAATATAGTAATTATTTATAATTAATATAGATTCCTGGAGATATGCCTGTTGTTTAACCCACAAATTGATCCTTTGATGTTACATAAACGTCTTTTAGTCGTGTATCCAAGCTGGCGTCCTTTGTATTTAGCTTGTCCACGAAGTTGGGATCCACTATAGTTTCAAATAATAAAGGAATATGCTAAATATTTATTTATTACAGATGTATAATGTGCTTACACTCCAAAGTTCTTTCCATGTCGCGCAGATTGGATTCGTATTTTGGTGCCGGTGTTGGCTTTTCGCGTTCCAGCACACGATGTGCACGGTTCTCCACATTGAAACGATTGGCCTTGCGAGCCACCATAGACATGGCCTTGCCCATTTTGTATTTGTTTTTATTTTAATTAACAATTAAATTAAACTCATCTGCCCAGCAAATTAAGCAATTGGTTACAATTTGTAAACATAACCAACAAAATCAGTGTTGGAAAAGAAAGCAGTACAGTGCTGCACAATACATTCGGGTAGTGAGTGCCGTAAACAAAAACAAACCGTTTGAACAACGGAGACAAGACTTACTTTTTTATGTAATTTAAAACAAAAAAGATTTAGGAAATGATATCACTGCGTTGCAGCTTCACGCTGTGCAGCGCGCGAACTATTCAAAGACTGAGCAGCTGCTATCAAAGCACGAAGTCCAAGCGGGCTGTGCAAGCAGAGCGGGTGGCTCGTTATAGCGGTGAATTTCCAGAGAAATTGCTCACCAAGAAGCAAAAGGGTGTTTCTCACATGTATGTGGCCAATGCGCAGATAGCAGAACAGGTTAATAATTATCTGGAGCCACATCTACGGCAATCCAAATGTGACACTGTGATGGAGCTCAATCCCGGACCGGGTCATTTCACGCGGCATTTGCTGGATCGCGAAACACAATTTCGTAAGATCATTCTGGTTGAATCTATGGAATACTTTATGCCACGACTACAGGAGTTGCATGCATTGTATCCGGAACGCGTGAAGGTGCGTTACGGCGATTTTGTTTCTCTATGGAAGTTGGCATTCATGGATAAAATGGATAGTGGAACGCGCCTGATCGATATGCTAGGCGATGTGCCCCGAACCGCATTCAATGAAGGCAAGAGATTTTTATTGCACTAATGTATCCTAAAACAGTGTATTTCAAATCTTTCTCGCCCTGTGCAGATATCAACATGCTGGTTTTTGGTGCCGTTGGATCTTATCCGTTCTTCAAGCATCTTATCAACTCGCTGATATTCCAGACCAGCCTGTACAACTTGGGTCGGTGTGAGATGATTCTAGCGCTGCCGCCGCCTATTTATATTGTGCGTACCTATCCGAGAACGTTATTTTGTCTTTATATACTTATTAACCCTTGATCTTGCAGCATTTGACGTGCTCGAATAAGATCGGTTACTTAATCTATCGCTCCGCATCGGTGCTATTTCAAATACTGTTTGAGCATCGTTTTATAGCCAAGGTGCCGCGCGAAAGTTTCCTGCCCGTGCAAGCTGACTATAATCTGACTAAAAGCAGCAAGTTGGGAAAGGTCAAGTCCATCAATCCGGAGTATTTGTATTTGGTTAAGTTTGTGCCACGTCGTAATCTGCATGAAATATGCCCAGTTCAAGATCTGCCTGCCCTCTGGTTCTTTATAAAGCAAAATTTTGTCAGTCGCCGCAATCGTATCATACCCAATCTAGAGTAAGTAAGCTGAAAAGCTAAGGCAATCTGTTTACTGCTTACTAACTAATAGAATGTCTTGTAGAAAGTGGGTACCTGGCTGTGGTCCAAGGCTAATTATCAATCAAAATGCCCCAGAAAGAGTAACACCCATCTACGCAGATGAATCGACCCAGCACTTGCCTCCGTACACGGTGCAGAGTACCAGCATGAGCACACGAGATTATTATCCCGGCATTAATATATATACACAGTTTGGCGATCTGACACCAAGTCAAATGTTCACGTTATTCGCACAGTTTCGTCAATGGCCAGAATATAGCGAGAGCTCATTTCTTGCTTCCATGGAGAATACATTGCTTAAACTGGAATCGGTAAACGATGAGCAAGGCTTGGAGGATGGTGTCAATCTAGTCGAAGAGGATGACATTAACAGCGAAAGTGTGGATGAAATACTTGAGGTCACCGAGGAGCCTGTTCCGGAGCCACCAAAAAGTCGTAGGAAAATTAAATTAAAACCTTAAATTCGAGAACAGCTCGATTTGCACATATACATAAGTAATTGTTATTGTTGCTTTAAGCCAAATGGTTTTAAAATCGTTTTGAGTATTTTATTGACTTGGCCCGCTTTTACGGCGCTGCCGGGCATCGCCCTTGAGCAACTAGGCGGCTTCCACGCCCACATTTCTGTGCCAAGTCAATGTGGTATTCTGGCGGAGCAACTGAATCTAAAGAGATGCGCGTTTCCAGCTGAGTGGAAAGCTGCACACAATCAACCATAAGAGTCTTTGGATTGACGCCCAGTACAAAGGTATATTCCTTGTTGGGGCAGGGATTGTTATTGTTATTGGTGCTGCCAAACTGAAAGCACTTGTCGCGTATCAGGAAATGGCCATCCTGCCGACAGGGGTTGTTAACGCACTCGGGTATAACTTTCTCTTTGTACAATACTAGCATTTGAGTGTCGTTGCAGGGCCCTTGTCTATATGCTGGATAACAAGCATCGCTTTCTGGGTGATAAAGTGCCGCTGGTCATGTAAAGTACACGCGAATTTAACACGTTATGAATAATTATTATTGATATTATGTCATCGCCATATTAATGGTCTCATACCTGGTGCGCAATCGCATATCCAGTCATTAGGCTGATCTCCAGGGTAAAGCAGTTGGTAGCGGGCGCAGCGAGCGGGTGAGTACAACGGCTTGCGACCCTAGAGTGAGAGTAAGACAGAGAGATATAGAGAGCGTGTTATTGATGCTGTTGTGTTTGTCTTATCAGCTGTTGAGGTCTTGTTGGATCGCCTACCTCCAGATTACTTTTCTGCTTATCGATGTCAGCGTCCTCCACATAGGCAACTTGTGCACAGCCTAAGCCAATAATAACAATAAACAATCCACAAAATAACACAAAAGCCATTTGAAACATGTTTGTTTTTGTTTTAAAGGCTTATGCTCCAATTTGGCGGGCACGTTTAATTATATCTCAAACTTTGTTTGATGAAAATGTCTTTGGCAGTTTCGACATCCAGTCGCTACAGCGCAATGTATAAAACTGAGATGTGGCTGGGGAGCATTAAGTATCAGCTCCCAAGCTGAGCTCCATTCATATGTTAGTATTTACTCAGTACATATGTTAAAGATCATGTTAAAGGGTCAGTGTACATGGCACCAATGTTATTGCTTCCTAGAGTTGCCAGCCTACTGTATAAATTTATGCATCACTAGCAAAGGCATTTTATGAACATGTTCAATTTTGTAAAAATACCATATTATTTTAAATTATTCGCTGAAAATTTCGATTTTTGATTTTTCTAAAATACCATTAAGTAATTCAAATAATAATGTGGTGAGCCTAAGAAATTACAACAAAAATGTTAAATTCAGTGTTGCGGCGTACTTGGCAACCCTGTTAATGAACCTTCAGCTGTATCTTTGTATACATATCAATAACACAGAAAACAGCAGAAAAATCAAAAAGTTTAAGTTTTCCCAACGAACAATATATACACAAACTAAACTGAATTTCCGAAAAAATGGATGACGAAGAGACTGCAGGTAGGTGTAGGGACTCTGTAATTAATTGAAGAAAAACTTAAAAATGAATACACTAATGCGCAGAAATCGATGAGACCAGCTCATCCAGCACAAACACAACTACAAATACAAATACAAATGCAGCTGCAACTGTAGCTGAAATGCAGGTTGAATTAGGGATAGACGAGGAAATTACACAAAGCAGCGGAAACGATGCTGGAGCTGAAGATGGAGCCAGATCTGAAGCTGGAGCTAGTGCAATAGCTGCCGTGACTACGGCGCATGTGAACAGTCGTGCGAGGCTTGAGAATATGATCGAGGAGGTGGACAATATGTTCGAGGAGGTGAGTGAGCTGATGGTAGATGTCACAGAGCTGATGCGCCGCGCCAACCAACTGAGAGAAGACACAGGCACGGTTGCACCGCCGCAAAATCCAAATGTGGCCACAAACGCAACACCTCCTGTTGAGATCGAGGAGGAGGCGGAGACCCCAGATCAACAGGCGGAGCAGGCCGTGGTGACCAACGACAGTCCAAGTCGGGCGAGCGTCAGCTCTAGGCACAGCGGCAGTGACATGTCGCTGGACAGTCCAGGCAGTGAAGGTTAGTCCCATCGCATTGCAAAACAAAATCTAATCGTATTTCTCATTAAATGTTGATGCAGATGATTCGGATGCGGAGGCAGTGCCACGTTGGATGATACCGGCAAATCGTGTGCGTTCGGCTGTGGACATGTTGGTCTCGCAGGCTCGTAATCGGGATGGAGGTATTGCAACACTGTTGCGACGTGAAAACTTTTTACAGCGCGTGCGTAGCATGGTTTTTAGCCAGGATCGCATTCGTGGCAGGGCGAGCGATGATGTTAACAACGCTGATGTGATCAATACTGTTCCAGATGATACATCTGAATCATCGCCGCCACCACCGTTGGATGTTGACATGGAAGAGGGCGTACGGTTCGACACAAATCTTCCAGCAGAGCATTCTTATTTCGGTACAAATCTGAATCGTGTACCCGGTGTGGATTACTTGGAAGTGGGCAGCACACATCGTATGCTTATATTCATGCATCAACATATACTCTTTCCTGGTGAGGTGTTGCCTTTTATGATTGACGGAAGCATTATCGATGAAGAAATCGAAGATGCGGGACGTGATGGTGTCATCTTCGGCGTTGGCTTTCCACTGATGCAGCCGCCGGACGATAACCCACACAAGCTTTACGGCGTCACCTGCCAGATCTATGAGAAAGGTGAAAGTGGACGCCAGCATGTGTTTTACAAGTCCCGCGCCCTGCAACGCATCGTCATCAACTGTGACGATATACAAGGGTGAGTATGATAGGATATGGCGCAACTGCTCAAGCTATATTTTGTTGTTAATCCTCATGTGTCTATTATAGACCGCCCCAGTACATAGCAAGGAATCCGACCATGAAGTGTTACAGCAAGGTTAAAATATTGCCAGAATACTTTCTGCCCGAGCCGCTCAAATGCATTGATATGGGCTCATTGAATCGTTTTCGTGATATACCTTCCATGCAGGATAAATTTCGGCGCTTTCAACTGACTACAACACCCTGGCCTGTCGAGGCTTGTGGGGAATACTCTTTTGAGCATATTGTGGAGAAAGCACGCCAAAAGCTAGAAATACATAAAATAGATACCATGCCAAAGTGTCCCATACAATTGTCATTTTGGCTTGTGCGCAATTTGCATCTGACAGAGAAAATGATGCGTTTGACATTTCTCACAGATTCTGTGAATATAAGACTGCAGATTATTGGCACCACCTTGAAGCAGGAGTCACTCTTCTATTGTCGTTACTGCAATAGCAGTCTGGCCTATTGTTCCGATCTATTTGCCATGTCCAAGCATGGCGTTCAAACGCAATATTGCAATTCAGGTTAGTTAACATATTTATGGAGTATTCCCATAACTGATCTTTTTTTTCATTTCAGCTGGCTATATACATGAGACAAATACGGTGTATAGGGTCATTGCGCATGCCATAGGCTATAGTGGGGAGCCATCCACCGAGTTTAGTTGGTTTCCCGGCTACCAGTGGCATATTATTATATGCAAGTTTTGCGCACAACATGTGGGCTGGGAATTTAAGGCAGTCGAGCCGAATCTGGCCCCCAAGGTGTTCTTTGGTCTAGCTGGATCTAGCGTTCGCATTGGTAAAACCAGCGAGCGTACACCGACGCATGGCAGCACATTTGTTGTACGGAATCTGTTGCGTCTCGTTTCCAGAGAACTTGAATGAGGTTGGCAACTGGTGAAACGTATTGGCAGTTACTGTTGTTGTCGTCACCGTCGTCGTCATCGTCGACCATCTGATGGACCTGCATAATCTCTAAAGCTAAAATGTAGAAGATTTAAATTCGTTTCACTAAATCGTTTAAATATTTTTACATTAAAAATGCAAAAGACATTGTCGTCAGTTATGGACAGGCTTGTACGCGTGCAAACATTAAGATTGATTTACCAACTTATATTAAAACTAATTCATATTTAAGATATCGGCGTGATTAATATATTACTCTTTATTTTTTTAAATCTAACTGATTGTTGTTGTATGCAACGTAAATACATATATGCAGCAAAATCCCAATACATATGGCAATTCCTGTACAATGGATTTTATTTAGTTCTTTAGCAGCACTGCAAAGGAAGTGGACAGCTTCTGAAAAGTTTAGCAGAGTGTATTTCTTTATATATATCTATATTATTCATAAGTACTTACCGCTTTGCAAAACGGACACAGGCCAAAAGATACTTCCAGAAAAGTTTTACCTTCGACCAGCGTATCGAACCATTCCTTTAGACAAGCTGCATGACATTTAAGCACACATCTGGAATTATCACAGGAGACAAGAGGCACCTCGCCGTTGTCTAGGCGATAGTCGAAACATATATTGCATCGCTGCTCTTCGTCCTCATTTTTCTTCAACTGCATCTCTGCCGGCATTGGAAAGTAACACAAATCGAATATATGTAAGAGATTCTTGTGCATGTCCAGCTCAATATCCCAATTTGCGAGTCCTTCGCTCAACACATGTCGTAGATGTGCAACCTCCTCGGTGGGTCCTATTATCTGTACGGTCATGGATGCATAGCTGGCAAAGGGATCGGCTATGGTTAGCTTGAGATATACACGATCTTTAAGTGGAAAGACGCGTGTGTTATGCTTAGTGGTAATTGGACAGGGCTGCAGCACATCGCACAGCTCATCAATACTAGAGAAACTCTCATAGAACGGGCGTAATTCCTCCAACAGTTTGAGATATAGATGTAAGATGCTGGTGAGCGAGTGGGAGCTATTTTCTAATATATCTTCTAGTTGAATGCAGTCGGGCAGACTGTGAGCTATCAATTGCAATGACGGCAGCTTCAGTTCCAGGTAATGTGCCTCATGCTCGGCAAAACCACAGAAGCGAATCCGCGTGCATCTGTCATTCAATTGCAGGCGATAGTCTTGCGGTTTGTGCAACTCCAGAATCTCCGTATATATATTACTTTTCTGTTGACTTGAATAAACATCGGGCATCGGTTCTTCGGGTAACAGCTGAATAATATGCAATAGAAGATCTTCAAGTTGCCAATTCGCTTGGATCTGCGTATTTTCAGTGCTGTACCGTTTATATTCCAAGTGCTCCTGTACGCACAATCGAAAGTCACACAGTTCTGGAAAATGTGGTAAATAGAGTTTTAAACGTATCCATTTAGCATTCATGTAAACAACTCCTCTGAGAACAACGGCGTTGTTTTTGCTTCGCTCAAAATATAATCCGGGATATTTCAATGCCAACTGCCGCTTTAAATGAACTTCGTCCATATTTATTTGAAACTGAATTTAAAATATTTGTTGTAAGAGATAATTCTGTCATAAAAGTATGACCACGTTTAGGCGCCAAGGCAAGTGATACTATTGCTTCGATGTGGTGGCTGTTCGATAGTCGGCTACCTGCTTCGATAGATTTGCCTCGTAATTTCAAATCTTAGGGTATATTGTCGCAAATGATTCACGCAATATACGTTAGAATTTGCTCACGCATTTGATCAGCTATGCCGGCTGTATTTACAAAGCACTTAATCCTAATCAAACACGTTTCCCAACTATCTCAACGTCCCATTGATTGTTGCCCATTGCCATTAAATAGTTGTTTACCCAGACTTATCAGTCAAATTGTACGTTATATACTGATTTTGATGAAATCCGGCGTACACCTGCAGACTACATTGTATGGTCATTATTATTATTATCATTGTGCCTATGGTTTTTTTTCACCATCTAATTTTTAAACACCTGGCCATAGATTGCAATCTGTGCCGCGTTTGATAAACTTGAAACTTGGCCATCAGTCGCAAACAATTGCTATTTAATGTTCGTCCATTGAGCCACAAGTTTCATTTACTGCAACCAACTGCTCGTGATTTAGTGTTGTGCTACCTGTAGAAGCTTTCTCACAATGTTTCGTTTTGTTTTGCTGACACTAGCCTACCTGTGCATCACCTGTGGCGCTACCCCAGTCAAAGAATGTAAGTCCATTAAAGAAAAAGAGGAACAATTAAGTTTTAAGTAGGATTTGATAAAAAAAACTAATAATTGTTTAAATTAAAACAATTTTTTATTAGGTTGTAGTTGCCTCAGACTATACTCGTAATTAAATGTATATAAATACAAAAAGACTTCAAAACATTGTCTATCAATTAAAGTTTCTTGAGTTCTTATGTGCTTGGGGTGTGAAAAGGCATTACTCATTCGTCATCAGCCGGTTTCTCCCTTAGAGCGGTACTTATTGTTGTTTTTCTAGTCTTTTATTTATTTCCTTCTCATCAGCTATCTAGTAGGCGGTATATTTTTAATTGCTGATAAGAAAATACGTTAATCATGCAATGAAAGCAATTTAAATCGGAATGTATATAATAATACAAGTATGTGCATATATATGCACATAAGTATCAATTCAAATGTCACCTAGCCTTAGATAAGGCTTATCTCAACGCTGCTCAATAATGAAGGAAAGAAAAGCTTTCTGCACGCTGACAAACTATAGCATACTTTTAAGAGATGCACTGACACTTCTCGCTTTTTAGGTAAAAATATACCATTGCCCCTAAGCGTTGACATCGCAGACTGCGAAGTCCCGCCCTGTGTAGTCTACAAAGGTCAATTTGCTGTTATGGATGTCCAATTCCTGGGTGGTAAGTCAGATTTCCTCATACACACTATATAAATTAATACCGTTACTTTTCGTTGCACACAGATAAAAACAATATTGCGACCATTACGACAAAAGTGACAGCAAAAGTCTTTGGCATGAATTTGCCATACGATCTGCCCGAGGAGATATCCAATGTGTGCCAAAATCTCCTGTACGGAGCCATGTGCCCCATTGACAAAGGCGAGGATGTTACGTACAGATTTAATTTTTATGTGGAGCCCGTATTTCCCGAAATTACGGCCGACGTTACCGTCTCACTTAACGATGCCGATGACAATACAATTAGCTGTTTTATGGTCAGCTGTAAGATCCGCAAGGGCGCATCATCGCGACTCGAGCTAGAACCGATCGTAGCAGATACATCGATTGTGTAGAGCAGCTGTACTATACTACTCGGCGCTTCTGGGCTAACTGATTTGACCATTTGGTCGTCTGTTCACATTCTTGTCAAATAAATATCGAATGCTTTACTTTGTTTACCGAAATCGACGTCATTGTTCTGTTTCGCCTTCCAGTGCACCGCCTTATCAGCTCGCTTGATAAGCAATTTTTGTGTGTTTGATGACGTTGTGATTTGCACTCGAATTATAAATTAATATTAATTGCCTGGGTAGCTCAAATGCTAATAAAATCAGCATTGATAATCATTTATAGACCGGCAGCAGGCTTCATGAATTGGCCATATGGCACTGCTCGAATTGGCTTGATACGATTGCTACGATTTGATTGAGTGCAAAACGACACTGAGCGAAATTAAAGATGGTTTCAATTAAATGCATAATTTTCCCAAAATTGTTTACGAAATTAATTAAATTATAAGTACAAAAATTAGCACTTGTTTCGGAGCTTATTTTATGAGAACATTTAAAGCCGTTAATAACCAAATGCTTATTTATTAATATTCAAATACTTAAGTATTAGAATTTTGCGATTAATTTATAGCTCAATCATCATAAACTTGTAAGCCCGAACTCTCCGAACTGGGAAACTTTTAAATTTTTTTTTTTGCAATTTACATTTATCTTTAGAGGTCAATGAAAAATCAGATGTTAAGCTTCTTTACCACTTAAAGTGTTTAAAGTATACGAAAGCTTTCAGTTTTCTATCAAATTTAGCTTAGATCTATAAATAATAAACAATAGAACTAACAAAGATACAAAATTGAACAGTTTTTTGACAATAATATAAATTATTTATTTAGTTTCATTTATAGTATATATATATATATATAAGTGTCTTTATATTGATATATATGCATATATCAAATTAAATTGTAATATATATATTTATATTTAAATAAAATAAATAATAAATAAATATTAATTATTATATTAATTATTTATTTATTAATTTTCCATCAAATTGAAATATATTTAAATTATTTATTTGCATCAATTAATAAGTTACAATTGCCATTTGGTCTTGTTATGTATAAATTTTGTACAGTGTATGGTGATTCTTACTCTTGAAATGTACCTTGATAAGTTCGACCGTTAATCATTGTCTTGTTGTTATTGTTAGCCTCCGGGTACATTTCTCTACGCGGCCTTAACGTTTCTGTTCCAGTAGATGGGAAGCAATGGGCGAACAGGTGTGCTAGAACCATATACACTTACCTGCACTAACTTATCAATGTGGAGTATTACGTTTATGAAGACTTAAGACACTTGAATTCACTGATGGAGTACGACGAACCTTTATGATCGATTGCACTTAATGCTTCAGTGATTACTTTTATGGCCATTTGATGAGGTGTAAATTAATATTGCTTTTGTGATGCAGTAAACTATTTAGGAAATTCGTGCCTCTTTCATTTATTTACTTAGTTTTTATTTAAGTTTCTTTATTAAGTTATACATTTAAAAAAAAAAGCAAAAAAAACATATCACAGTATTAATATGTCAATATATAAATGAGTTTAATATGGAGCATTTCTTCAGTCCAGATAGTTGAGCTCATAGAGAGTGCTGCTTGCGCCCTTCTTCACTTTGATGTCGCAGACAAAGCAGGTGGCTATATCTTTATCCTGATCCACCAAGTAGATTTCAATTTTGACACCAACTTCGGGGTATTCACCAATTGGAAACTTAAACAAATAAGTCACATCCTCTGTTGGATATAGCGGACAGTAAGCGCCATACATAAGATTTGGACAGACGGCGGCCACATCTGGAGGCAGTTCGTAGGGCACCGTTATAATGCCCAGTGTAGTAGCCTTCACCAGGGCTGTCAGTTTCGTTATATACTTGTCGACAGCAAAGTCTATTTCAAATATTTGCATTGTGCCTTTGACAACTATGCAAGGCGGCACCACACAGCCAGGGATACGCACCTCTAGCGGAAAGGGTTTATTACCCGAGCCTAAAAATCAAATAGATTATTTATATATATATAAATACATATATATATTTATAGATTTGCATTTAGTTTATATAGAAAATGTGAATAGAAACTTACAGCGTTTGACTTGTGTGGGTTCCAGTTTGTCGTCGGCCTGGCTCCCATTCAGAAAAAAAATTATAAGCAAAATGCTTAGACTGATTAGCAGATTCTGTTGCATTTCGTCTTTTGTTTGTTTTTATTATTAATTTTCTAGAACTTCTGTTGAGCAGTTGCTAAATTAATGTTTACCAATTAGTTTGAACCACTTCGTTTTTATAGCCAAAACTCATGAGCTCGATTTGAGTGAGTGAATCGCAGTTTTTATCTTATCAATTGAAGGCGTTTTCTAATTTGTTAACGCAACAATTTGGTTTGCCAGCTATTGAGCGCTTTTCCTCAAAGAAACACCAATCATGGTCTGGCTAAAATGACTTTATTTGAGTATATTAAGTCCCCTTCCAGATACAAACATAGCGTATATTTAGTATATCTCTCTATAGAAACTTGACTTCTGTCTGTGTATTACCAAAGAACATATACACACATATGAATGTCATTTAAATGTCCTATGACTGCCATGAAGCACTCGGACCACATAAATTATTTAGAAGTTGAATTTTTGAAATATGTGACTCAGATTAGAATAGCTTTTTGTATGTTTTGCTGTGTGCATGGAATGAAGATGGAGACCCTGAGTAAAACATATTATATATATATATATATATATACATGTGAAAAAACTCTGCTCAGCTTTAGCGACCCATTTAAAAATACTTGTAAGTGCATTGCGAATGACACGAAACATTGTTGTCCAAAGAACTGCGTGGCATCACAAAGCCGGTGTGAAATAAATCCCTGAACAGAAAAAAATCAGACAACCAAGCTTACTCAGAAAAGTACAAAGCAGCTCTATATATATATATATAAAGCAGCTATGTATATATATATATATGTGAAATGAAACCCAGAAACAGAGACATTTGTACTTCAGTCAAAGCCATTGTCAATAAAACTTCAAATGAAAATAAAAAATTACAAGAAACCGACTAAAAGTAAGCTGAAAAATATAATTTGCCCGCAATACAGTGAAAAATTCGCCAGCGGTAAGTGCGCGAGGTGCTCTCATAAAGTTTGTCAAATTAATAAAAAACTTGTCAATTGACAAATTTTATATAGTAATGGAACTATATAGATAAATATATATAGCTAAACTTTTAATTTTAAGTTTACTTCTTATCTCTGTTTTTGGAAGCTGGAAAATTCAACCGAGTCAGCAGCCTTGCTGCAGACTAGCCTCCATTCTGATTTAGCCTTCGTTCACCCTGACTCAATGTATCCCCTTAATTCAAAACTGAATCAACCTTAACTCAAGCGCTTTTCAGTCTACATTCAGTCCAAACACGGAAATTTATTTGACAGCCCTCGCAAAAAACATTTTTCCGCAAACAGAAAAAAAGGTAGAAAAATCTCGTAATGCTACGGCGGGTGGTGGTTGGGTATGTGGGTTGACATGTGGCCAGCGCAGCATGAGATTTTCGCAAACATGCTGCTGAAATCTGTATGTCTTGGCCCAGCTCTGGCTCGGCCGTATCTTCTGCCCTGCCACCTGGACGCCTTCAGCTTGATGTCACATGCTGCACAGTTGTAATTGTTGTGGCATTATTTAATATGTCAAAGCAATGGCAAAATCCTATACAAAATGTCCTCATGCTGTACTCTCCTTAGTGTGTGTGTGTGTATGTGTTAAGGCTTTTAGCTTCTTATTTTGCGAATGGAACCGCAATATTTGATTAGCATCAAGCGAATGGCATTGATTTCTGTCGTACTTAAATACATATATATATATATTATGTATCTATAAATGTATGTGAGATTTTCTATTTTCAGTTCCATCTAATGCAATTATCTGAACCGGAAAATCTGAGCCGGGAGACCAAGCGACATACTTTCACAGTCACAGCATTACTTACCCCATTTGCCATTTCCGTTTGCACTTTTCTGTGCGTTTATTTTCGGATGGCTTCCCTTCTTGTTCTACCTCCTGTTTTTTGGTTTTTTTTTTGCATATTCCCCAAAGTATTACCTGGCTCTTTTCACTGTCCGCTGCCTTCTAGCTTAGCTGATGTTCTCCCTTTTGAAATCGATAATGCGTCTCGTCTCTTTATTTTCAGTTTTTTATGTCATTTGGATTAATGATTCAGCGAATGCAACGAGGAAAATCTTTGAGAATTTGTTGCATACTTTTAAGCGCCATAAATAAAGTGGAGCAAAAGTTTATATATATATATATATATATATGTATATATATGAAATGGGTATTATGGGGTTAACGTTATAGATAAAGATACAGATACAGATACAGATACAGATACAGATACAGATACAGATACAGATACAGATACAGATACAGATACAGATACAGATACAGATACAGATACAGATACAGATACAGATACAGATACAGATACAGATACAGATACAGATACAGATACAGATACAGATACAGATACAGACAAAGATACAGATACAGATACAGATACAGATACAGATACAGATACAGATACAGATACAGATACAGATACAGATACAGATACAGATACAGATACAGATACAGATACAGATACAGATACAGATACAGATACAGATACAGATACAGATACAGATACAGATACAGATACAGATACAGATACAGATACAGATACAGATACAGATACAGATACAGATACAGATACAGATACAGATACAGATACAGATACAGATACAGATACAGATACAAGATACAGATACAGATACAGATACAGATACAGATACAGATACAGATACAGATACAGATACAGATACAGATACAGATACAGATACAGATACAGATACAGATACAGATACAGATACAGATACAGATACAGATACAGGATACAGATACAGATACAGATACAGATACAGATACAGATACAGATACAGATTACAAGTACAGATACAGATACAGATACAGATACAGAATACAGATACAGATACAGATACAGATACAGATACAGATACAGATACAGATACAGATACAGATACAGATATACAGATACAGATACAGATACAGATACAGATACAGATACAGATACAGATACAGATACAGATACAGATAAGATAACAGATACAGATACAGATACAGATACAGATACAGATACAGATACAGATACAGATACAGATACAGATACAGATACGAATACAGATACGATCAGATACAGATACAGATACAGATACAGATACAGATACAGATACAGATACAGATACAGATACAGATACAGATACAGATACAGATACAGATACAGATACAGATACAGATACAGATACAGATACAGATACAGATACAGATACAGATACAGATACAGATACAGATACAGATACAGATACAGATACAGATACAGATACAGATACAGATACAGATACAGATACAGATACAGATACAGATACAGATACAGATACAGATACAGATACAGATACAGATACAGATACAGATACAGATACAGATACAGATACAGATACAGATACAGATACAGATACAGATACAGATACAGATACAGATACAGATACAGATACAGATACAGATACAGATACAGATACAGATACAGATACAGATACAGATACAGATACAGATACAGATACAGATACAGATACAGATACAGATACAGATACAGATACAGATACAGATACAGATACAGATACAGATACAGATACAGATACAGATACAGATACAGATACAGATACAGATACAGATACAGATACAGATACAGATACAGATACAGATACAGATACAGATACAGATACAGATACAGATACAGATACAGATACAGATACAGATACAGAACAGATACAGATACAGATACAGATACAGATAAACAGATACAGATACAGATACAGATACAGATACAGATACAGATACAGATACAGATACAGATACAGATACAGATACAGATACAGATACAGATACAGATACAGATACAGATACAGATACAGATACAGATACAGATACAGATACAGATACAGATACAGATACAGATAACAGATACAGATACAGATACAGATACGATACAGATACAGATACAGATACAGATACAGATACAGATACAGATACAGATACAGATACAGATACAGATACAGATACAGATACAGATAACAGATACAGATACAGATACAGATACAGATAACAGATACAGATACAGTAAGTACAGAATACAGATCCAGATACAGATACAGATACAGATACAGATACAGATACAGATACAGATACAGATACAGATACAGATACAGATACAGATACAGATACAGATACAGATACAGATACAGATACAGATACAGATACAGATACAGATACAGATACAGATACAGATACAGATACAGATACAGATACAGATACAGATACAGATACAGATACAGATACAGATACAGATACAGATACAGATACAGATACAGATACAGATACAGATACAGATACAGATACAGATACAGATACAGATACAGATACAGATACAGATACAGATACAGATACGATACAGATACAGATACAGATACAGATACAGATACAGATACAGATACAGATACAGATACAGATACAGATACAGATACAGATACAGATACAGATACAGATACAGATAAGATACAGATACAGATACAGATAAGATACCAGATACAGATACAGATACAGATACAGATACAGATACAGATACAGATACAGATACAGATACAGATACAGATACAGATACAGATACAGATACAGATACAGATACAGATACAGATACAGATACAGATACAGATACAGATTACAGATACAGATACAGATACAGATACAGATACAGATACAGATACAGATCAGATACAGATACAGATACAGATACAGATACAGATACAGATACAGATACAGATACAGATACAGATACAGATACAGATACAGATACAGATACAGATACAGATACAGATACAGATACAGATACAGATACAGATACAGATACAGATACAGATACAGATACAGATACAGATACAGATACAGATACAGATACAGATACAGATACAGATACAGATACAGATACAGATACAGATACAGATACAGATACAGATACAGATACAGATACAGATACAGATACAGATACAGATACAGATACAGATACAGATACAGATACAGATACAGATACAGATACAGATACAGATACAGATACAGATACAGATACAGATACAGATACATATACAGATACAGATACAGATACAGATACAGATACAGATACAGATACAGATACAGACAAAGATACAGATACAGTTACATATATGTCAGACTCTATTCAGTACATTTTGGTAAAATTTGATTTAAGCTGACATGTTTCACTCTACCTGCAGCAGGAACTCAATTAATTTGTCAAATCAAAGCTGACAGCGTCGAATGCCAACGTTCGAGGCCGGCAATTTGTCACGCCAAGCGCCTGGCTGGGGCGCAGCCCGTCCGCAGTTGAGCCTCACCTCACCTGGTTGTGACCTCTTGGGCTTCAATCAGGACATTCCCAATGTGTCTTTTGTTTGCACGTAATTTAATAGCTGCAAGTTGGTTGCATTGTGTCTCAATTAGGCGACAATTTCATTTCTGTCGCTGTTAATTTTTCATTAAATTTTACGGACATATTTGATGGGTCGGTCGTGTGCTGTCAATTAATAGAGGAATGCTTCCTCAGACACGCCCAGTTGTCACTGCACGGTCACCCTGTCAACAGGTGTGCTAATTGAGGACCGAACAACCCTTCTTATGCAATCAAACTACCCTCAGGTGGACTCTGTGTTTCTCCATGATAGTTGGTCATAGTTTGCCACAGCTGACGAGTGCATTCAACTGTTTGTATTTTAACAATGTAACAAAACCATTTTTTGAGGTTTTCATTTCCATATACACTGTATGTTGAAAGAACACACACCCTGTGTTGTGGGTAAGCATAGCATATATATAAGCAGATATATATTAAAATAAATATTTGCCTTCTACCTTTTCGAAATTGATATAATTACTTTTTGCATATCGATAACTATCGATTTTGCTACACAACAGAGCTATATTCTATGTAATCTAAGTCTATTACTTTATACAGGCTATCTCTAAGTCGAGCACTCTCCAACCACTCTATTGCCATTCTGGTCAGCTGACCAACTGCCCTTGAGCAGCATTTTCTTTTCACTTGCAATTTTCAGCTGCGTCCCTTTGCATAGTTTTCCGCCCTGGCGCGCACTTTGATATATTCAGTAGCAATTTGCATAGGCTGTCATGCAAAAATTATTAAATATTTTTTCGTTTTTTTTTTTTTTGCCAAGAGCTCTAATTAATTTGGCCAGCTACCAAGCTACCTGGCTACGTGGCTTGTGTTTGGGGCGCTATAATTAAATGAATGCAAAATTCATGTTTCCCGAAATCAAGAGAACATGCGTTTCGACAACTTTGCTGTCGAGCAATTTACCTTCGGCACAAGGCTTACGTGTTGGCATTTAATGTAGACCTCCATTTGACTTACCCTCCATTACCTTCTCCATTTTGTTGGACTCAAATACGTAGAAACATTTGCTGAAGAAAAATATTACTCTATTTGCATAAATATGCGGAACTCTCACTCCCTCTCTCTCTCTCTCTGTATTTAAAGTGCACTCATGCATAATTAACAACTAAGAGCGTTACAGCTGTATACCTGACTGACTGCTTAATACTCGTTCAACCTATTTGTTACTGAAAACTGCAGCTCTGAAGCTCTTAAGTATTTGGAGTACTCTTGGCTTAGCAGACCACCAGATCAAAAAGCTATAAAGCTTGAATAAATTTTCTTTCGATCACATATATGTATATTCAATATATATATTCAAAATATATAATATATATTCAAAATCTTCAGTTTATACTAACACACAACCCATATACCCCTTTTACTTTTCATGAATGAGTAGAAAATTGCAGTTTCAGACTTTTGCACATAATTCAAGTGGTTGGGAGCTTTTCTGCTCTATAATTTTAGTTAAAACTTAGCTCAATTTTTAGATTTTTTTTGAAATTTCAATGCTAAAATATTTGCGATTTGACATGCAATTCTGTTGAATACGCATTTCAATTGGCTGAACTGAATAATTTGTAAGAGCAAAATGATAAAGTTTTAAATTCAAAATTTGAAATTTTATAAAAAATGTCTAAACTCTTGTCAATGCGATTTTAGTTAATAAATTTGAAGTTTAATTTAAGTTTCATAATTTCTTATTTATAATACAGTTGAGAGATATGCACATAACCTCACAAATCAATAGCAGCTATAGCTATATTATTATAAAATAATGTAAATGCAAATTAAAATAATTGTTTGAGCACTTGAATGTGCAACGAAAGTCTGCAGCTCAAGCCAATCATTTAGGCATTTTAATAAGCACGACGTAAACATTTAAAAATCAATTTTCACAAAAAAAACAACAACAACAACAACAACGATAACGACAAGCACAAAATCAAGTTACTCGCAATCTGTGGAAAATCGCTCAGCTAATTTGCATATAAAACAGTTGAAATTTAAAACAGAAAATATGAGAATATTGATGAAATTTGGATAACAAGTGCTTGGCTGAGTTCACCCCTTGACATTCTGGTAATCCAGTTGCTCCTGTTGCTTCCGCTGCTTCTGGCGGTGGTGCTACTTGCAAAGTCAAGTGGGTGTAAGAAATTGTATAAAACTTGCTTCAAATTGCCTATGCATATAAATTGATGTTAATGTGACGGGCAAATACAAATATATATAAATATATTTACATATATACAAACACATAGCTAAGCAGGCCAATCTTTCCCTCTCTCTCTCTCTTTCTCTAAGCAAGGGTAGATTTCTTGTTGCCTGAAAATATGCAATGAAAACTGCTTTTTTACTGTTTGCTATTTTTACTAATCGCTGGCTAATTTTATTAACGCCATCGATTGATAACCGCGAATAACGCGTTTAGCTGTACCAGCAGCAGTTGAACACCAACAGGTGTTCGGTTCAGCATCTTATCTAACTCACCTGGTTGTTTAGTTCGCCTGCACTGGTCGTATCTCTACAAGTACTTGAGCGTGTTTTGGAGGTGTAAGTGCACTCGGTAAAGCACGCGCAAACAATCAACAAATTGAGAGGTAACTGCTCTGAGTCACGGCTGAGTCTATGGAGTCTCTCAACAGCTACATTATGAATCAAAGCTATCAGAATACCCCCAAAGTAGTTCTTTAACATTTGAAGTACATAAATCTCTTTAAAGATACCATAAAAATAATGAAAACATAATAATTAACGTTAGCTTTTTCGTCTTAAGGTGACTGCCTTATTTAACAAGAATTTTATTTCAGGTAAACTTCGTTGAAAAGTGCCAAGCACTTGAGATTTCTCGGTAAGCCAAATATTAAAATAGTATTTCATTAAGTTGTAAAGCTAAGCTGAACAGGTGAATCTAATTAAAAAAATTAAAATTTCAAGCTTTCAATAACATATGACAATGGGCTTAGATGTATAGTATAAGACTCAAATCTCGATCTTATATAAGCCAATAGTCTAGGCAAATATATTCATTTTTGGTATAGAACTCCATGTTCTTTGAGTCCAGTCTAAGTGCGCAGTTTCAATAAAAACATTGACCGCAGTGTCAAACTGTGTCACTGTAAATATATCAATCTGTAAATATATCAATCAATACAAGCTGTTTCAATCTGTTAGTAGATAAAACATGAGTTCTTATGCATATCTATATATGAGTTCGTAACAAGAACAGATTTTTAAATATATAATAATATAATAATAATAATAAAATAATATATATAAATATATTATTGAGAACATTTAAATTCCTCAAAATTCCCCATCTTAAGCTAAGCAACAATTAATTATACGGAAAACTTTCAATTTCTTTGAATGCCTATTTAAATCGCAGACAAGCAATTAAACGAATTTCGCTACTAGATTAGCCAGACCCAATTCTGATAGCTACCTATATTGGGAATAACATATAATAAAATCGTATATTAACTGTGTCGATTAGATAAGGCAGCAAGTGCAACTGAACCAAGGTAGTCGCAGTTGATATAAAAGGCAGCAATTGCTGTACAATGGACATAACAAGCTCAAACATCTTTCGATTAAGACAGTTCATATACCCTCAAGGAAATCTCTATAAAAAGGAAATCCAAAATGTTTGCCAATCAAGTTTTTCTATATGCATGCCTGATCTTTGGACTCATCCTGTCATATGCCAGCGCCGATACGCCCATCAGAGAATGTGAGTAAACTACAAAAAATTCTGTTTATATCATATATTTATTAGGGGTATTCCTTTATAGGCGTCAATACAAAAGGTCCGTTGCCTCTGATGGTGCAAATTAATGACTGCAATGCGCTGCCCTGTGATTTGCTCAAGGGCCAAGAGTCCACCATAGCCATACAGTTTGTAGCCAGTGAGTAGTGCAGAACTATATATGAATATATAGGCGCAGATATCTAATCGCTGATTTTTCTATAGCCCGCAATACCATGTATCAGCTGACGGCCAAGGTTCACCTGACCTCCCTAGGCGTTACCATACCCTTTGAACTGGACTCGCAGCGCAGTAATGTGTGCCAGAATCTGTTGCACGGTGCCTACTGTCCTCTGGACGCTGACGAGGATGTCACCTATCGCCTGTTGCTGCCCGTACCCAGCAACCAGCCAGAGGTGCCAACCCGCCTGCAGGTAACCCTGTACGATTCAGAGCGCAAGGACGAGGTGGTTGCCTGCTTTCTGGCCGATACACGTGTCCGCAAACCGTAGGCTAATAAACTTATGCTTTCGTTGTTAATGTTAATCGTATTGTTTATGAAACATTGTATCAATGTTTGCTATTAATCGCAACTAAGCTGCTAAATTATAAGCTGCTCTTGCTGGCGGCACTATTAGAGATTATGAATAAATAATTAAGCCAAAACATTATCAATTATTTAACTGAACATGTTAGTTAATTATAACACATATGGGTCAGACAGGCAGGCAGGCGGACAGACAGGCGGGCACACTATAAGCTGCCTAAGTCCAATCGACAGTTACGCAACATGAACTACCTAATGCCACACCTCTGCCATCCTCCTGCTCCTCTCCCACTCTCAACTCACTCATTGAATCGGCTTAATTAAATGACGCACAAAATTACACAACACCTGCTCAGAGTTCGGCATGTGGCAATGCCTACGTGCGTGACACGAACATGCACGATTGATTAGAAATTGAAATTTAACAAATTAAATATACTTGATTTGCCCTGACTATATAGTCTGCTTAAGTCTAGCTATGTTCACCTTGCCTTATTGAACTCTTTTTTTGAAAAAAGAAGCCATTACTATATGCCTTACGTCCTAAGAAGTGGCACAGAAATCACTGCTACATATATTACTAGTATAAAATATATGGTCATATTGAAAGTAGTTAAGATTTGAAGGTTAAGAGGTTTTATAGTTGTACCCACGAGGTCTCTCTACATATATTGAACTAGGGTTACCAAGCTCTACAATTCGATCACTGTTGATCTCCTTCACTGATTAAAATTATATAATTAATCGCTTTTCAGGCTATGTACGATTTACTGTTCATAGTTATATGATCTATATATAGTTAATTCTCGCTGGACTTGTTTCACATATGCCAGCAGCCTTAGTATAATTAAAACTCGCAAGTTTGCTACAGATGCGTTAGAAAACCTTAAAGTATCTAAAAATGTTGAAGCCTGTTTCATTTAGTGTTGGAAAATGACAAAAGCTCATCACTAGAGTTGCCACAAGTGACAGCACTACCTGACTGATTGACTGACTGACTGATTGACTAAGTGAGTGTTTACACTCGCACTGGCTTATTGAGGTGTTGACGCTGCGTGCGGTTTTTCATAAATTTGCAACTTTTCATTCCAAACAGTTGCCATTTCCACATTTACACGCACATCCGCATCCACATCCACATCCACATCCACATCCCCAGTCACATCAACACATCCACATCCAGCCACTGTGGCTGCAGTCGCTGCTGTGGTTATGGCTTCCTTCCTGTCATTTGGCAAAAGCAACGCTAATTGGCTTTTCAACACTTTGCACTTCCTGACTGACTATATATACATACTATATATAGTATATAAAGTATATATATACACACATATATATATTTATGAACTATGTCCCAGAGTCGTTTGTTGCTTGTTTCGCTTAATGAATGAGCCCTGATTGCACACATATCCGTCGGTTAGCTAATTGAGACGTCGACTAAGTGGTGACATATAAGTACGCACTATATATATAGAAACTGTATATATATGTATATATATACTTGACAAATTGCCTACAAACTATGTTAGAAACCTGCCGCAACAAATATGACACGATAAACATGTCGCAGGGGTAGTTTAATTAGCTTTAAATTCTTCTTAGCTATAAGAACTATAAAGAAGAAGAAAATGAATTAGGAAATAATTTGAAAACAATTTGAATTTGAAAATGCAAAAGAATTGGGCTTAGGCTCAAGTTTATTAAAGCATTCCAAGACCAAATTAACTTCATTTTGAGCATAGTTAAATTACTTTAAGTTTATAGATTAAATGTCTAATAGTAAATAAATATTCGTATAGATTAGTTCGTAGAGCCTCATTGAAAGTTTACTTTAGAGGCGATCTGTGTGAGTGTTAAGCATATATAGATGATCGAATATAGTGGAGCAATGGTTGGATGGGACTCTTAAGATTATAAAAAGAAAAAATTTGAGATTTTTAGCTTTAAGAGGAGATACATTTTACAGTCTGAAAACAACTAAAAAGAGTATTTGACAATTAAAATACATTTTTAATATATTTATCAGCAATATTCCTAGTAATAAAACACGATTTAGCACAGTAAATTTTGACTATGAATTCAATTTTTTAGTCACCGTTCTGCTTAGCTTATCTCTGGTACATATTACACAGGGCAACTTTAGTTGAGCCCAGCTTCAACTAAGTTTAATTACAAATTAAATTAGCTACATTAAGTCATGTATTTGTTTATAAATTCATGCAGACTGAGTATGATATCATTTCGTTATGAAACGTCTGCTCGTTCTGTTGTGGCTTTGCGTTTTAGCCCATATGCAAAATGTCAGTAATTCATCTGAGGAAGAAGAGGAAGAGCCACAGCCCAAGGTAAAAGTGTATCAAATAATAAAATACTCTGCTATAAAACTAGATTTCAGGTTAGTCTGTTTTTTGAACGCGTTCGAATTCATGGCGATCATCACTTCATGAAGACCTACGCCTATATACACGAGGATCGCAAATTCTTCGATGTGTTTATCAAGCTCGATCGGAAGCTAGGCAGCAACTATCTCATTATGAATATAAATATGCGTGCGAAGTTCGCAGGTAGCAATGATTTTATGAAGTTGTTCGAGTTGCGACACATGGACTTTTGTGCATTCGCCAATAATCCGAGCTTCCGTCAATTCTTTATGAGCACCACACACATTAGCAAAGTGCTCGAGTGCCCCATACAGGAGGGAAACTACAGCATTGAAAATATAGGTGTGATGAATATAGTCAGCGCAGGCAGCTTGAGCAAAGGCACTTACAAGTTCTTCACCGAAATTGTCGAGGTAACCGGCGATATACCCAAAATATTTGCTATGCAAGTGACCACGCTGATAATATAAAATCGGCTAATACAACTTGATGCCTATCCAAAATGCTAAACACATGCAGATAATCTTGACGAGTACAAGATATGTAGGTATCAATATATAAAAAAGTGTATTCAGTAAACCTCTTATGTACTATTTACAGAATATGTTTTGTTTTTTTTTTTCTTGCGATATCCACTTCAATTTATCAAAGTCATATCGATATACGTTTTTTTTTAATTTTGAAAATCAAGAATCTTTATATTTTATTAGAAAAGATGTTTCACTATCTATACGATAAGGATATACCAAAATTGCATACCCTACATCATGTTTTTTGATTTCGATAAATATCGATTTTAAAAGGGAAAATAAAATAAAATATATTTATAAAATGACGCAAACCCGATAAAACAAATATTTCCATTTGACCTGTCATATACTATATATATATCTTATATTTTCGATAAATATCGATCATACATTGATAGATGTATAAATATCGATGTTAAAGCTAACTTTTCTATGCCTACTTTTGCGCTTACGACATATTGCTCACGTATCAAACTCAGTCACTCACGCTTTTGGATACCTTGCCTCCCTTCGATGCCCTGCACATGTGAGGCAGCGAACAAAGGATACGTAATTACAGCAAGGACACGGTCACCCTCGAGGCTGGGCTGCCGTAGGTCAACCCCCCACAGCGTGCACTCTAAGCCGATTGTTGGCTTCGACTACCTTCGATTTTGTTTGCCCATCGAATTTTCCATTGTGCGTCATACGAGAAACGCTTTTCCCTTGACATATTGAAAATCGTTTAAAGCGACCGAGTGCAGCGTCCGATTATTGTGATTATCTTTCGACTATCGCGTGTTATGCCAGCCACAGTTGCTGCTGCTGCTGCTACTTTTTGCATTTCCCGAGGGACATTTGCGGTTTTCCCTCGCTAAGTAGAGTGGAAGCCATATGTGCGCATTGTTGCTGCAATTTTCTTATGTCATTTGTCTATAATTAATAGAAAAACAATATGCTCAATGCCCAATCAATGGGGGAGGAAGTCCGCCCTGAACGAGCTACTTTTTAGGTAATTTAATATAGAGCATAGGTTTTGTGATCAAATCAATATTATTTGTTTCCATTACAAATAATATAAAATGACGATTTTCCATTTTTATTTATATAAGCTTTAAGGAATGGCACAAAATGTAAATATATAATTCTGTAAAGAAAGTCAATTATATTACGACGCGTGCAAGCATTTATAGATTTCAGAATTCAGTGGAGTAACTGCTTCATAGACTATGTGGATCTGTATGAAAATGTATGAAAATCACAGTACAGAGAAAGTGCATGTCTAAGTTGAGAGAGTGCGACGAGGAGATACCCTGACCCCTGCAAGGTCCTGATATTCCTCTACTCTCTACTAACACCATGATACCCTAAATTCCGATTTTCATAAAAAATCGAATATATTTTCCACAATTTGAATTTTAATGCATTACCTACAAATATTTCAAATTATAGACAACTAAATTAAGGAATTCAATTTGTAGTTCAAATATCCCTTACCAATAATTTCCTAGTCAATCTTGTAAAAAATTAACGTATAAAAGACATGATAATAACATATCAAAGTCCCTTGCTGACCCGTTGGGCTTAAGTCACTAAAGTCTTTCCAACCCATTAAGCTGCGGCAGTTGGGCGTAAAAAACGTTTTTCGTTTTTAGTTTGGGTAATATGATATTTTAATGGATGTATATAGATATAGCTATATGTATATGGAACCATTTTGGCAGTTAATTAAAATCCCTAATGCGGTTTACCTTGGTCTCTTTCATAATAGATATCAGAGTATGAAAAGGGGTGGCGGCTCGGGTCGCACCCTGTTCTGAAGGCTTTTCAATGCACAATCAAATCATTTCGCAAATTCAATTTGCCAAAAAGAAAAAGAAAAATGTTTATAATGTGAATATATGGCAAATGGAAATTCAAATGGAATTCCGGCAAGGACCTGCGTGTCCTGCGTGAAGTGCGAATGCCTGCTATCAAGTGTCACACTTATGTCTGACCTTTGCAAATTCAATTTGTCGCCTTTTTATCTATAAACATTTTTTTATTAGCCTCAATGTGGGGCGCGTGCGTTTAAGCGCTTTCTTTTCAATTTACTTTAACCTAAACCTTGGAATAGCTTAGTAGACGGGGAAGGAGATGAGCCAACAATTTGAGAGCCATTAACTAGTCGAATCTTTTTTAAGAGGGTGGTCAAAAGCTGAAAGCAAAGTATACAAGTTTTCGGCTAACTTAGTGACATGCATTCAGCTGTGTCTTGCAACATATTCTAGAGCTTCGAACTGGAACATTTATGAAATATATATTGTACAAGAACTAGCTTGGTATTTAATGTATGTTTTGTATCAGTATAGGACTCCTTGATCACGATCCACAGTCAAATGGCTTTATCAAAGATCATTTAATTACTCCGTCTATCTATCTGTGCAAACACATATATGAATGCCTTGATCTGGAGAAAAGATTTAAAATCTATTATATGATTTGCTAGAATGCGCAGATTAAGTACAAAGTATCGATACTTATATTCAGTTTCATGAAATTGTGTATTTGATATCAAAATTCAGATATTTTCAATTTTCTTAAAGAGCTTAATTTAACAAATTCAGCTAAGATATATATGTAATAATTTTAAACATTTATGTATTGTTATAAACTAAAGGTTTCGTAATAGCATATGGTTAGGGTAGCTTCTAGTCGTTCAATGCCGATTAGAGTAATTTTTTTTATAATCTTTGAGCTAGAGATAGTGCAACTTAGCTATCATGTTAGTCAGAGAGTTCAGATATATTGATCGTTGATACTCTTTTTTCCTGTTATCATCTGCTTTAAATAAAGTAAGTTTATATATTTGAATATGTATTCGCTATTTGACTTTCATTTCAGAGTAACTTTTATGGCACTGTTCCCACTGTAACACACTCCATAGTGCGGAACACTGATGTATATATACTTCGTCTCTGTGACATGCTATCACACGCCGCGCAAATTGAATCAATCAAAATCGATTTTGCTGGCTACAAAGTCGACTTGAAATTCAATTTTGAGCAGCATAAAAATAAGAATTCAAATGGAAATTTGTCAGCCTGGCTAAGACTGAGTGCTGAGTGCTGAGTGCCTGGCTGGTTGGCTGACTGGCTGACTGGCGTCAGTTGGCAATTTGAAGTTTGTTGGTTTGTTGGCGCCTTGGCCTCAAGAGGGATTTGCAATTAAAAAGGCGTTGAGTTGGGCAATTAAAGACACGAACTCCACTCGAAAGTAATTCACTAAAATAACGCAATGTTGCGTAATTCAGTTTCACAGTTTTGTAATTAAACGCATTTGCATAAGAATTGCACCAGCCTCGGGCATACTTCCATGCGACTCTAATTAAAACTAACCCAACCAACTAACAAAAAAACTCTGCGACAATTAAGTTTGAGCCTTTCATTCGGCGCTGGGGCGGCCTGGCCATCCATTAAAGGTCATCAAACGTTGCCCAACTGGCAAAATGCCAGCGATTCTACTGCGTCTGGCAATATCGTTTTGTATGCCACCTGCCCCACAGGAAGTCTCTAATGTCCGGCAGAGCCAACAACAACAACTTGAGCTGGTCGAATAGAATCGAAATTGTAAAGAACAGAGTTGAATAGGTTTTTCTGATAATAATTGCATTGGTAGATATTATAAATTAGTTAATAATATAATTTACAAAATATGATAATATTTTCTTTAACAATGTAAAGTTTCAAGTTGTTACTAAAGTAAACTGAGATGTTTTTTACTGTCAGTTCATATGAAACTTTATGTTGTCACTTATGTTTGTAGAACTTATCTGCAAAATCTTGAAATTTATAGCTTAGCTTTTTTGAGCAATAACGAAATTTTATTCGTTTCACGAAGTAAACAGAAAAAATTATTTTAATACAATTCCCATTTCTTATTTAGTTTTAAAAAAATCAAATTTTAATTCCCCAGAAATTTTACTCGAGTGTCACGAAATGAAATTCATTCTGTCAAAACATTACAAAACATTTTACATATTCTTAACATATTTCAGCAAGTGTTGCTTATAATCTATATAGCCATAATATGTTTCAGGTCAAAGTTTGTGTTCTTATAGCCCTACATTAAATAATTTAAGCTTTTCGCTCAATTGCAATACACTGATGGACAAAATTTGATTTTATTTCATTTCATTGCATTGCCCTATTTTATTTCATTGTGTATACGTTTAATTAAAAATATAATTTTGGTTTATATTTTATTTTCTTATTAATCTTTTTACTATTAAACACTTCCTTGCTACTGCTAACCAGGCAATGTAGGGGATTTCAAATGGCTTATTCAATATTTATAACATAATTGACTATAATATAATATACAATATAAGGTTAAGACCAAAGTCTCGAACGTGTGTCATGGTTGCGGTTGCCGTTGCAGAGCCCATTATGGGGAAGGTGCACATGGTGCAGCGTTAGCTAAGCCTATGAATGCGTTTAAGGTGTAAGACAGCAAATTTGAGCAACTGCGTAGAATGTGTGGGGACAGCAGTTGACCATTTGTATGCTACAACAAAGTTGCATGCCACGCACGGCCAATTAATAAGTGCGTAGTCGGCATACTTGGCATGCCGTTATGTGGAAGGGGCACAATGGCTCAGTGCTCTTATAGCTGGACGTGTTAACTTGTATAACATTTCCCTTCCTGCCTCTAGCTGTCCTATTGAAACTAATCTATCTGTGAAGAAATCTTGATGAAAATTGGTACATTGCTACTAAGTTTCATCAAGATTCCTTCAGATATATATATATATATATATATGAAACTTATTGCTAACACATCATTATCATTCTATGATATTACGCTTAAACAGCACGTGAACGAGAACTTGATCCTCTCATCGGATTACAAAATTCGCAAGAAATCGAATTGTGAATAATCCTCTTTGTAAACAAATTTGCAAACTATCGCTCATAGATGTCAAATACAATAATACTTCAATGATATACTCAATTTGATTAGTAATAAAAAAAGCAAATCATTCTCGATCAGATATGCAATCCAATGAACCATGGAAGACCCCAGCACTTGTCCACGCATGCTTAGCTAATCCTTGAATCTGAACGATCTGCCGCAAATAAACATATCGTAAATATCCTATATGAGCCTAATTAAGAGCCCATTACCCACCCTCACGCCGTGTAAATAGATATTTAATAAAAAGTGAGAGAGAGAGAGAGAGAGAGAGGCAGGCAGAAACCGCAACCATCCCCTGAGCTAAGGGTGGCGCATAATACCGTGTGCCAAGGGCCTGGAACAGAGCTTTAGTTGTGGTTTTGATAGCTGTGCGGTGTAATTTGACACCTTGAGCCATGCGAGCAGTGCGCGACGCCAACCTGTGCAATTAGCCTTACAAAATCAACGCCGCTGACGGCATGCAAATGAGTGAAAAATGTTGTGCTACCAAGGCTAATTAGAGCGCAGCATCCCGCTGTCAAGTCAAGGCAAGGTAAGCCAAGAGTCTGCAGCATCTTACAAAGGCCGCAGATATTTTAATGAGACAACGCGACCGGGTTCCTTCATTGAGCAACTCACAACTTGCCGTTGCCAAAGGAAACCACAAAGTGTAGCTCGTTGTTGACCTGGCTAAGAAGTCAAAAAAAATTATTTTAATAATGCTGCGAGGTGAAAAAATGTTAAAAGAGCTGAAAAGTTATTAGCCAACTTTTCTTAAGATTTTTTTCATGTACTTTGTATATGGAGCATCATGCAAAGTGGGTATATTAGATTTAAGATTTATTGCGGAAATAATATCATAAGCTAAAATAATTTTGATAAGAGAAACTGCCTTAGATCTACATAGGATCAATATATTATTTTAATTTCGTATATGTAATCGATCTGTATGTGTTATAGATCTGATCGATCACAAAAGAGAACTGGATACATTTTTATTAAAAAAATATCTTAACTCTACGGGTTTTGATATGTTCCCTATAGATGAGCATTAGTCATTAAAGAAAAGGCAACTGAGGAATGGATATTGCAATGGATATAAATATATTTATTAAAATTTATATAATTTTTTTTTTTAAATCAGAATAATTTTTTTAGAAAGGAATTTTTGGTGTATTAGATTATATCTTAACTTATCCCTTGTATGAGCAACTTTGTTGCTTTTGAAGCATGTCTATAGAGCTGTATCGGATCACAGCACTATATCATATAGTTGCCTTAAAAGAAAGTATTAAAATGTTAGTTTAGTAATTGTTGAAATATATATATTAATGAATGGATATTCGTGCTTATGTGCACAGACTATGCAGGCTGAAAGCATTTCGTAATCAAAAATTACAATTTGAATTTGAATTTGAATTTAAATCAGAAACTAGAATAGACGTCAAGAAAAATGCAAAGAATCTTTTCAGTTTTTAATGAATAATTATTGACTGATTGATTGTAACAATATAAGCAAGCGACTTTTGAAATCCTGTACAAATCCGAGTAAATATTTTGCCAGAAGAGAAGTTAAAGTAGCAATGAGCGAGGGGGAAAAGTAGGCGTGTAGGGTAGGTCATCTATCAACTATATCCAGAATCAACTCGAGTCTGTATTTCTTGCTGTTTAATAATTAATAATTTAAAAACTATTTGAATATTTCACATGTCTCATACAGGATATCTGCTAGTCGTACTTAGCCAACTTGATTGCTTTAGCTTGCTATTTTTTTCAGGCAACGCGACCTCTTAATTTGGTTATGAGCTGACACAAAATGTTCATAATTACATTCCTGTTCATTAGACGTCCTTGTTTTCGAGCAGCAGAGAACTGCGTTTAATTAGGTTTTGTTGATTTTTCCATTTGCCTGTCAAATTTAAAGCAGCTTTAAAGGACAGCGGGACTGACGCCATTTTGGAATTGCATTGCCCACATGCGCAGGAAGTGGCATTAAAAAGACAACAACAAAAAGGCATAACAAAATCATAAAAAACGAGACCCACCAAAATAATCCTTTGGCTCTTAAAATGTCTGCACAAGCCTGACGGTCAGAGTAAGGAAAATGTGGGCAACAACAAAATCCAGTTTCCGCCTGGGACAGTAGCTGCTGCTGCTGCTGCTACTGCTGCTTCTCCACATTCAATGCTGTCCTCTCCTAGCCTCCCCATGCCAGACGTTCGAAACTCCAATGCATTGCATTGAAATTCTTCATTTGCAATTCAATGAAATTCCGTTCATGCTGTGCGACAAATCCTTTGGCTGTTAGTGGGCGTGGCCGCTGTGCGCATTGTCCAATGAGCGCTGCGGCGCAACAGATGCCCAGCGGCTGTGGCGCCCTCTGGCGTGCACAATAAAACCCAAACGCAAATGCAAATATTCGCATTGCTCTCGCAGCTGGTGCGTGGGGGCGTGGCGGCGCATGCGCATCTCTGCGCAATCGGGTAGAGCAAGTGCGGGCCGAGGTGGTTGGAACAGTCCCGTTATGCGCTGCGAGCGAATCCAATGCCAGCTTGCGGGCATTCCATAGCTGTGTGCGAGCGAGAGAGGCTCAAGATGGGCATATTGCAGCTGGCTGCTGGCAGGGTGTTCAGCTGTGTGGGTGGGTGGTTGGTTGGGTGGTGCGATGTTTCCTTCGCTTGTTCTGGCTTGCGTGGGCTTTCATTGGCTTCGCGACGCAAACCCAATTTTCGTCGCTGGCATTGCGACAGGTGAGCCAACAAGGCACTCACATATCCTCGCAGCGCAAACGAAGCTTCAGTTGAGCTCGACGGGTGCGACGAGCAGGTTGCGTGCAACGGTAAATTTCAATCCGTGTGCAATTTCCAAGTGCAGATTTCCATATAATATATATGCTATATATATATAGTATATATATATATAAGTGCGAGCAGTGTTTCTTTGAAAGTAATTAAATGTTAATTCGAAATAAATTAACTTTAGGTGTGACAAAAATAAATAAAAATAAAATTATAATTATACAAATTTAAAAAAAAAAACAGTTTTGCTAAGTATATATATTATTTTCTAATAAGAAACATCAAAACTTTAATTGAAATATTAAAAAGTTTGTTGGAATTATTATTATATTTAATGAATAAATTTCTAATTTTTTTAAAAGTTTTCTGCGTTAGTTAGAGTTAGTTTTTGAAGAGAATTTCTTGAACTTGTGACATTTAAAGACTACAAAGAACTTTAAAATATAATAAAAAAACGTGTTCAAGAATTGTGTGTAACAATTTAATCAGTGATTCGGTGCAAATTAAGGCAGGCGCTGGGAGATTCTTGGCATGAATTTTCAATATTCTTGAACTCAGGTTTCCATCAAGTTCATTTGGCTTAAACTTGGTACAAAGTCAAAAATTAAATAAGCAATCTTCATTTTATTATTCTAATAGATTAATCAAAGGTTTGAAAGCGCCTTTTATAAACGCTTATAATTTTTTTTTTCGAATTTTTGAGATTTTTTAAAGCTTTTCAGCTTAAACTGGATGTTTTATTGTAATTTTCCATACATATATTTTATGAGAAATTTAAACGTGTTGTTTGTTATTTTTATAACACTTAAAAGGACCAATCCTGGTTCCTAATAGGCTTTTAGTCTGAAGTACTCATCGTCTAAGACTTTTACCTTTTTCAAAAAATGACATAAAAAATGTCTTGAAATATTTTCTAAATATATTGCAAAATTCAAAAAAAAAAGTTAGTGTATATTGTTTACTTTTCTGGAATAAAAGTAAACTAAAATGATTAAAAAAAAAATATTAAAAAATATTTACTCAATAATTATATTTATATGAAAAAGTCTAAAAAAATATGTTAAAAAATATTTATTGTTTACTTTTCGAGAAAGAATACAAAAGTAAAAAATAAATATACTTGTAGGTTTATAGTTATTAGAAATTTATTATTTTAGAAATTAAAAAAAAAGAATAGCAAATGTTTTATTTTTGAAAAACATAATTTAGAAAATTTAGAAAGGGATTTGTAGATTGCTGTAAATTATTTATGAAAAAAAATAATTATTATTTAAATTTACAGCTAAATGATATAAATTAAAATAAAATATAATAAATTCAAATCTAAATATAAAACAAAAATAAATAAATTAAATATTAATAAATATTAATTGAAATTCAAGTCAAGAAAGGAAAGAATATAAAGCAAAAGCTGAGACAAGTGTGAAAACATGTTGAACATGAACCAATTGAGCCAGACGTCGCTGGTGCCACACCCACAAGTCCATTACGCCGACTGCCGCCCATTGCCGGCAATCAACGAGACATTTGCGCAATTTAGTCAGCATAGCAGGTCGGCTATATCGCTATCGCTGCTCTCCCCATTGGATCTGTCGCTGCGCGCTGCGACGAATATGGTGCCAATTACGCCGCCATCGACGCCCTCGCCGCCTCGCAAGCGTCAAAGATTAATGTCCGAGGAGAATTACCTGTGGCGGCCACATGCGGCGCTCGTGATGCAGCCACCAGCAACAGCAACAGCAACAGCAACAGCGACAGCAGCGGCAGCAGCAGCAGCAGCTGCCACAAGCTACTTCCATCATCAGCAACAGCATCAACTGGGTGGCTATGGCTTTGAGGGTGCGGCGTATGATAAAAGTAATTTTCACGGCAAAAGTAACTTTGCGCAAATTCCGGCAAGTCAATCGAGCGTGACTAGGACGGCAGCCAGCAGCAGCAGCAGCTGCCAGGAGGATGAGACAATTGTGTTGACCGAGGACGAGGACGAAACAGTTGTCAGTTCCCATGACTACAATGACTATGCCACGGACACCGAGGCCGATGCTGATGGCGACGGCGATGGCGATGCCGAAGCCGATGAGGAGGATACAATACAAGTTCACGACGTTGATGACACAGAGGAGCAGCAGCATGAGGAAGACGACGATGAGGAGGTATTTGTGGACATACTGGGCGATGATGATGATGATGATGATAATGCGGAGTTGATGCCGCAACAGCGCAAGCAGGCGCTCAAAAGGAATGAACTGATCTATGAGGATGAGGAGCTGCACAATCAGGCCATCAACGGTCTGGACAAACTCTTCAGGCGGGACTTTGCCCAATCGGCCAAGGAGTGTCTCGAGCTGGAGGCAGAGGCCGCAGCCGCTGCCATTGAAGAGCAGCCGGAAAAAGTCTACATGGACTTGAGTGAAACCACTAATCCAACCCACGACCAAGGACAAGCACCAACACAGACACAGCAACAGGCACAGCCGCAGCCGCAGCCACAGCCACAGCCTGAGGCACATTCTTCGCTGTTGCGCAAACACAAGCCGGAACGTAGACGCACCAAGTTGCGCAAACACGCAGCAAACGTTGACGAGGAGACTATCAGTCCCGTATCCGGCACCATAATACGCAAACTGCGTGACGATGAGGAGCTGGTGGTGCGTAAAGGCGACATTGATCCCGCTTTCAATGTGGTCGAAATCACCGAGGAGGCCAAAGCCATCTTGGCCAGCATCGAGAACAAAATTGGCGACTATCTCTGCCAGCTCTGTCGCACCGTCTACGACGACGCCTTCATGCTCGCCCAGCATCGCTGTCCACGCATCGTTCACATCGAATACAAGTGCTCCGAGTGCGAAAAGGTAATGTCTGAATAACCTTTAGTAATAGAAACTTTCTTAGACTTGAGCTTTCGCTTGGTCTTAACAAATATTGAAGGTTAAGAAACTTTAATATGATTATCTGTAGCTTTAGAGGGGGTAAGTAGAGCTTTAAGTATAGCAACTTTGAGTTTTGAGAAAAGTTTTTTGAGCTAAAGCAATAGCCTGCTTATACTTAAGCAAGAAAAGTTTAAGTTTAAGTCTTAGAACTTGCAAGCTTTGATCTTTTCATGACAATTCTTGAGTTAAAGAAGTAGAAGCTTTTTAAGGTTCACTTGAAAAAAGTTAAAATCAAAGCTGCTTAATATAATAAATAGCTTTGATTTTCAACAGCTTAAATTAAAATGGCTTTACAGCTAGATTCTCAAAATGCTGCGTGCTTCAAGTAAGACTTCATTCAAGCTGAAAAGTAAAAGCTAGTATTAATTCAGCAACTTTGAGCTTTCTATCAGATTTATCGCATTGCAGCAAAAGCTTTCTAAAATGCATTCTTAGAAATTCTGCAAGTTGAGTATTATATAAAGCTGCTTTGAGCTGTTACTAAGATATCCTATGCGTATAGTTCCGCCCTACGAAAGCTGGTTAAAGTTTGTTTTTAAATTACATTAAAAAAAAGTCTTAAGCTTTAATTTGTCTTGATAGAATTTGTAAAAATTTGCATATTCAGAAGCCTTAGCCTTAGCAGCTTAAGCTACTTAACCCGTGGTCAAGCCAGCGTGATACTATTTTCGATAACTATATTCCAGCAGCTGTTCAAGTGATCGATAGCAATTAACTGTTTATAAATTCAAAGAAACTTGCCATTTATTTAACAATTATTAGTAGAGGCAGTAAGTCCTCTCTCAGCACAAAGCTCGAGCTGCAACAATTATCTCTGGCAACTTTCAGCTAATAGAAACCGTTGCATTTGCAGGTTTTCAACTGTCCGGCGAACTTGGCTTCGCATCGCCGCTGGCACAAGCCCAAGTCGGAGATGCAGTCCGGCAAGAAGCGTGCAGCGATTGGTGCCAGCGACGGCACCAACAGCAGCAGCAACAGCAGCAGCAACGGCAGCGGCGCCGCAGAAGCTGGCCACAAGGCTGGAGGTGGATGCGATGTGGTGGATGTCGGCGATGGCATTTATCCATGTCCACAATGTGGCAAAACCTTTCGCCGGTAAGCAGGTAAATGAGACTTATTGATTTCTAGACTAAAGCCACGCACCTTGCAGCTATGCCTATCTGAAGAAGCATCAGGCCTCGCATCAGATGCTGGATAATCTGAAGAGCATGGAGTTCTTTCAGCAGCAGCAACACCAACAACAGCAACAGCAACATCAGCAGCACCAGCAGCAGCAGCAGCAGCAGCAACAGCAACAACAGCAGCAACAGTTGCCAGCGCAGAGCTATGTGTTGCCACGCCCACCGCCACACTGCAGCGGCCTATATCCCACTGTGACGGGCACGCCCAAGAGCTATGGCAACCCGACGCCACGCTTTGGTGGCTTCCCCTTTCAGCCACGTTTCTACTCGCTGGGCGAGCTCTATCTGAGCCAGCAGCTGGAGCGCTCCTCGGCCTTCCAGTACGTCCATGCGAATCACTTGCGGCAGCTGTCGAATGTGGCACACAACATGCTGCCGCCGCTGCCCGTCAAATGACCCAGCTCTCACGTGCTGCGCCCGGTGCCGCGCATTGCTGCCACAGCGACAACAACAGCGACGGCAGCAGCAGCGGCCACTGTCAATCGGCAATTGGAGCTGCCAGCAACAGTTGCCGCTGCCACGCCCCCATTCAATTGGATGCTGCCCCCGGAGCCCACTGGCAATGTTGTTGTTTAATTTCAGATTCAATTTATAGCATTATAGAAATAAAACGTTTACTAGTTAAAGTTTCAAATATCCATCAAATATTATCAAAAAGAAAAAGCTGAAAGAAAAGTTTCATTTCAAGGGAGTTGCGGGCTAGGGTAAATTAATAATATTATTATATAATATAATATATAATAATAATAATAGTATTTAAATTTATTTAAAATTTAAGTTTCTTCTAGAGTTGAACTGGTAACGACTGCACAATACTCGCTCACAAAGCAATGAAAGCTTTTTTTGAGCATAAGAAAGAAAACATAATAAACAAAAAAAATAAATGAAATATAAAATATAAAAAAATAATTTAATAAAAGCATTTTAAATAAATAACTATAGCAAGAGCTTTTTAAATTTTTTAATAATTTATTTTGATTTAAAATGTCAATCTTAAACTGAAATATATATAGATTTTATATATATATAGACTATATATATAAACATCATAGTCCCAATTAGCCTTCACAATTCTAATCAAAAATATAGTAGAATAATACGCATATGCATTTTACACAAAACCAATATACCCTTTAGACATCTTAAGCGAGCAGCTGATTAACAGTTAGATTAGCTAAACGACTAAATAGTTAGAACAACTGAAAGGGGTAATCGTAGTACGAATTTGAGAGTAGTGAATGAATATAGTATATATATATATATATAATATATATATATATATATTATATATCTAAGCATCTGATAGTTTCTAATAATTTAAAACACAAAAGTATTATTAAAGAACAAAGCAATAAACTCTTAAACTCCCGCCGAGGTTTCTACTTTATTGACATAAAATAAAGATACTACGCAGTCGCAGTCAGTTCTAAAAAATGAATGAGAAATAAAAATAATATCAACAACTTAATTAACTGCTAATCACTTCTCTATATACCACTCTATATAAATACACATATAACCTGCCCGAAACTGTAGGGAAGATGTAGGGAAAACATTTGTGCTCTATGCTCACATTAACGCAGCGAGAAACTGTGGCTGAAGACACAAGTTATTAGATAAGAGAGGGAGATAAGTGCATTGCTCTTGAGAGCGACGATCACTTCAGCATAGATCGCTGTAGACTTACACAGCCTTCTCCTTGATAGTTCATGTCATTCATATTTAGCGAGTATAAAAACAAACATTTATTTAGTTGATTGGCAAACTTGAACGAGTATTAAGCAGCTGCTTAAGCCTTACTTATTTATTGCTTACAATTTCACTTATCTTCTATAAGCTGCCTGCCAAATACATCAATGCCCAGAGCATAGGACAATGCCTGGGCCAAATAGGTTTCGTCGTGCACGCCATAGAAGAGCAACGATTTGGGCCCTGCACATAGAGAAGAGTTAGGCAAATTGATACGCCCTGTGCACGCTTGACTCACCCTGTGCAAAGAGCAAACTCTCCGATGGCATCTGCTGCAGTCTGCGCTGCAGCTCCAACTCTGGCTCCTGGAAGAGCTCGTCCAGCGTGCTCACCAGCTGCGTCTCCTCGCTCACATCTCGACTGGCGCTGAGGTAGTTGCCATTGGTCAGCAGCACCAAGGTGAGCAGCTCCTTGTGGCCCAACAAGTCCGTGAGTGTTGCATTGAGCAACTGCAGCTGCTCACTGGCCAACATGGGCTGTTTGACATGATGCTCCACGACCAGCAGATGGCCAACGCCTGGTCGCTGCAGCACCTGCAACGTTTTATTCAGCATCAGCTGCAGCGTGGGTGCCTGGGCGCTGCCACTCAAATCTCCATTGGCCAGCACGCCCAGCAGGTAGTCCACGCTGCTGCCATTGATGGAGCTCAGCTCATGGGCCTGCTGCAGCAGCTCGAAACGCTTGCTGGGCTTGAGCTTCAGCTTCTGATTTTGCCAGTCGCGCAAGAGATTGCGTCCAGCTCTGGCGCGGCACAGCGACTCATCCACTGGATCCCACTCGAAGCTGGGCACCTTGGCATTGAAGAGCTGTCGTCCGCCGCCGAGCAGCACATTCAGAGATTGCCCTGTTGCGCTTGAGATGAGCTGTTGGGCCACATCCTGGCAGCCCGCCTCGATGGCACCCACTGGCATCAAGCCGTCGCACTCCCAGCTGCTGGATGTCACCTGCGCATAGAGCGCAGCGCCCAAGGCGCCTGTCAAACGTTGATTGGTCACAAAACCCGTACGAAAACCCGCGAGCTGCGCCTGCTGTAGCACGCTAAACAACTCCGATTCGTTGCTGCTGCTGCTGCAGTTGCTCCGCAGTCGCTGCACAGCAGCCAGAGGCACGCCCGACCAGAGTGCGCGAAAGGCAGCCGCCGCATCACAGGGCGAGCTGTAGCTGCAGCTGTTCTTCAACCTGGCTGCGTGCGGAAACCGATCCCAGATGTAGTTGGCGTGGGAGCTGATATCGGCGGTAGTGAAGCGAGCTGCAGCCAGAGCGGGTGCATCGATGCCATGAACCATCAGCAGCAGCACCTGCCTGGGCTGTCGCTGCTTCGAGTGCACGCGCATGGCACGCTTCAGCTCCTCGATGCCCTTGTCGTACCAGAGCTTCTGCTCGATGGCCACCCAATCCTTCCAGTAGTCCACGTCGGCCACATTGGCCACCGCGTGCTCCACCTCGAAGCGAAGGGTAAATCCAATGCACAGCAGTGACACCAGCAGCGCCAACAACACAGCTCCGGCCACGATGAACAACTGCGTCGACTTGAAACGCAGCTGCAGGCAGAAACTTTTCATACGCTGCGACTTGGTCATATCGCGGCATGGCCCAAGATTCGACTGGCTGCGTCGAGGCTCTCCATTGCGCTTTATCTCTCTGTCTATCTTCGAGTTTCAGATAACATTCGTTTAGCCTATTTGAAGCTTTTATGCCCCGCAATCTGCATTTACGGCTCTAATTAGATGGAAAAGGTATGAATAATTCACACATTAATTGACACACAAACAATAACGCAGAGTACACTGAGAGAAATGCAAAAGAACTTCATTTCAGAGATAGAAAATAGTGTCAGATGCCTGATTGTTAGTTCAGGCTTGAGGTCAATCAGCTAGTCATTTACTCAAACAGTCAATCAATCACTTCGACAGTCAAGCAATCAATCAGTCTGTCTGTTATTCAATTAGCCAGTCAGTCAGTCAATCAGTTAAAGACCCATTAGTATTTCAATCAATCAATCAGCCGCTCAAGTTGCGAGTCAATTATTTGGTAGTATCAATCAGCCAATCAATCATCTGTTCATCTATAACTCTGTTAGTCAATCAATGATCTGTTTTTCTATCAATCACTCAGTTAAACAATCAAGCAGTATATCAGTCAGTCAATAAGTCCAGTCAATCAGTTATTCAGTTAGTTAGTTAAGAAGTCAGTCATTCAATCTGTCCATTAATCAGTCAGCAAATACTTAATTGGTCTGTCAATCTGCTAGTAAATCAATTAATCTAATTATTAATCTATCAATCTATCAGACAGTCTACCAGCCAGTCAGTCAGTCAATAAATCAAAAACTGTCAATCAAGGAGTCAGTCAACGACTCAGTCAATCAGTCCATCAATCTGTCAGTCAATGACTCATTCCATTTTTCTTTATATAAGGCAATGAGTCAAATACTATCAATCAGTCAATAATTAACTCAGTCAATCAGTCCATCAATCAGTCAGTCAATAACTCACTCCATTAGGCAATATATCGGTCAGTCAAGGCTATCAAATACTGTGAATCAGTCAGTCAACAAGTCAGTCAATCACTTGGTCAATCACTGTCAACCACAGTCAGGCGAATGTGTGGCTCCCTTAAGTGGTTTATCCACTTTTAATGAGTCCATGATTTAAGTAAATCAAATGATTGATGGACTGATTAATGAATAGCTCTAACTTTAGCTAACAATTTGCAGAATAGAATCCATGCACTACAAAGACATACAAAATCTAGTTTCACTTGTTGCTAGGAACTTCGCTCAGTGTATTTGTGCAGTTATTGAAATTCCAATTGGAGTTTTAGGTAAACCCTTTGCATGGGTCAACGACGCGACGTCTCTGTTTCGGTAATTAAATGTTGCACACATTCTCTGCCATTGTTTGTGGGACGCCGCAACTGTTTTATTGCGTAGGCGTGGCACACACACACACACAGAGACAGACAGACAAAGACACCAACACACACGCACAGCTAATTGTTATTTGAATATTGCAAAACCTTTGACCAACTATTCGCTTATGAATTTTCAATTAAACGCATCGAACGGCGTTTCGCATTCGCCACATTTGTCATGTTATGCGAACTGCGAATGCAAATGCAAAATTATTGTCGCAATTACAAGTTGTTAACCTGCTGTCACGCCCCATTGCCCCTAAGCGGCTAACCCTAGTTACCCCAGCTACACTGAGCCAAACCTAAAACTGAGAGTTTCCCACACAAATTAAATGCAAAAATAAACTTTGACTACAGTTTCTTAAGCTGAGACTAATAAACTTATGAAAAAATAATACATAATACTCCCTGAAAGAGAGTAGGCTTCTGGACTCTCTTTCCACACTTAACCCAAAAAATACTAAGCAAACTTAGCAACAGCGTCTCAAACTGCATTTGGCCAACATGTCTCACCTTAAGCCTATGAGCAACAAAACAAAAATAAAATATAAGCCAAAATTTCAAATATAAAACCAAAATTTGTAGCTGGAAAATTTAAGCTTGAAAATTACAAATCTACAGTTAGCTAAAGAAAATTTAGCTAGAAGCAAAAACTAATTCAAATACCAATGAAAATACAACAAAACAATAAAAATAAAAAATTAAAATAAAAAATAAAATTTCAGTTGTTTCAGTTTTGCTCAACTTAAAAAACTAATTAAAATTTATTTAAAAATAAAATCATAAAAAATTTAAAAATTATTAAAACTAAAGTTTATTAAATTAAATATTTTAAAAAGTGAAAAGATTTTCTAATTTATTTTATTTACCAAAATCTTATTACAATTTTTAATTTAATAAATTATTTAATAAATATTACTGTTATTCAAATATAATTATAATTTCTATATACTTAAGAACTTAGTTGTAAAAAATTAACTTTTTAGTTCAACATCTGCTTTTCGCCGAGTGTAGCTGGGTAGCCGTCATTTCGACGCTTTGAAGTTGCGTTGCATTGACATGTGGTCAGTTTTCCCTGTCACACATGCAACAGCAGCTGCCACTTGCCACTTGCTACTATGCTTTATCAATTTGTCATTTTATCTATTTGTCTGTTGGCTTTGACAGTTGGGCTCAGGACATCAAATACGCCCACACCGCATTCACAGACTATTCTGTCTAAATTATATCCGATGGCTATTTTCCAATCACGCTGTGAATTGTGCCCTACGCATTGCGTGCGGCCCACATTTAACTCCTATAGCCATTTTACCTTCTCACGCTACATAGCCGTAAGATTTACCTGCAAATAGTTTAGCTATCTTACTTAACATTCACATGGGACATAGGCCCTGTTAAGGCAAAAGCTTTAGCACGTACACCGTACGCATGCCTGGTTCGTGTATTAGCTAATGCTTTCACTGACGCCCTCTATTGGAGCTTTAATAAGTGCGCATAGCTTGCACGGGCGCCATGAATCTAAATTTGTATGCACATAGTTACATACACATCCATAGAATGTTTGAATTTGCACACACACATGCACACTGCATGTATGTGCATGCAGATGCAACTGTGCGTATATACTTGTTTATATAACTGTTGTGACGGCCGACTTCCTGTCAAGTGGAACATGGAAAGAGAGCGAAAACATGTCTGGAAGGACAGTGGCTCAGCGAATATTAAATCCTAAAATTAACTGCGAAATGGAACAAGTTTTAGTAATTTTTACATTTGTATTAAACTGAAATTGTTCTTAAATCAAGATAAACCATTTTAAATTTAAAGATACAGATATTTATATTGATAAGAGTATTTACATAAAATAAGATATATACATATATGAAGAATAGCTTGAGGTTTGAGCTGGATATGTATCCATATACATACATATGTATACATATCTGAAACGCAGACAAACAAAGACTTAGATAGAAAATTATCTAAAGAAAGATGAAGATACATTTATGACTGTAGACACACATAGATGCATAAGTATCTACGTGTACAGATAAACAAATAGATATGATTGGGCAGAAAGCTATAAATAAAGATACGAAAGTATCTACAAATGATATATACAAATGTATATAGATGTAGATATAGATATAGATACATATAGAGTTCAATAAAGACGCATGAGTAGCTATAGACAAATATGGAAAAAGATACTTATAAGGCTGTAGACAGATATAGATACATTTGTATCTATAGGTAAACATACCTTGAGATACGCGTGTATCTGCAAGCAGAGTATAATAAAGAATGTATCTTATCCGTAGAAACATAGATAAAGATACATGTGCATCTATAAGCCGATATACGAATGTATCTGGACATAGATATGTAGGCAGACACAGATAGAGATACATGTGCAGCTTTAGCTAAATCTAAATATAGATACAAATGTATCTATGGTTAGATGCATGCACATATTCCTGGTTGCAATTAGTGTCGAGTGGTTATCAAATTGCAGTCAATATGGAATTGGGCCGAGCTTTTTGACCATTCCGGGCTATGTGAACGGGGCTGTGCTGTGGGCATGTGGCGTGTGGTATGTGGCATGTGGCACGCAGCTGGTCCCGTCAAGTAATTGAAGGACGCGGCAGGAGCTTGAGGGACAGCCGCAGGAGCAGCAAAAGCAACAAAAACAGGTTATGCAGTTCAACAGCTGCTGACGCCCACGCAGCCAAAGTAACTGAAATGCCAAGGCGTAGGCGAAGCCAAAGCAACCAGGGAGAGAGAGAGAGAGAGAGAGAGTGAGATGGAGACTGAGACTGAGAGTAGGAGAAGTTTCGAGCTATGTGCAATTGGGCTCTGCTCTGCTCAGCTGAGCTCTGCTCTGCTCAGCTGAGCGCTGCTCAGCTCTGCTCTGGGCCGCAAGTTGACCTTGTCCTCTCTAACAGCGAAAATGCCAGAGACTTGCCCATTTTCCATGTTCCAATGCATTTCCAATTTTCACATTTCCATATGGCTGGACAGTGCTGGAAAATGAGCTCACGTTGAAGTCAATCAATCAATCAATCAATCAATCAATCAATCAATCGATCAATGGAAAAAGCAATCTTTTCTCAGTAAAAAAACGTTTTCCAATAGGCGCAACGTAATTTATTGCTGTTGACTACGTTTCGAAAGAGACAGAGAGAAAGAGAGAGAGAGAGGGAGATAAAGATCTATCTAAGAAACATTTCAATTTTAATGTAAGCAAAAGCAAATGCAAAGACATAGCTAAGAAGGGCTCATTAACAAAGAGAGAGTTAATCAAGCGCAAATTTTTTGGTATTAGTTCTAGTAAATCAATATGGGAACTAGTTCATTTTGCAAATGTAACGTTTCTCGCCGTCGGACTCACTTTTTTGCATAAGTTATTCATATGATTTTAAATCATCTTTTACTAGTTCATTTATTGTTGTTCAGTAGTTCATTTGAGGAGTCTTTGGTAGTTCATTGAACTTCCATCATTAAACTGCATGTTTTAACTATTTTGTCGTTCTTTTATGCTAACTAAAAGTTAATTTCGTAGTTCACTAGTTAATTTGAGCCCTATTTTGCTTCGTCGCTCATTTGAACCAAAGCTTTTATTCTGAGATAGGGCACAATATTTGTGTCTTTTCACTGTGCAGCTCATTTAGTTCAC